CTTTTTCAACTATTTATTAGTGGTGTGGTCAAAGATATATTTTAAACTGCACTGAAGTCTCTACTATGAGGTTTATTTATTTTTTTTAATGAACTACAGCTGCTGCCTCACTTTTCCTACTTCTCATTGTCCGAGAACACCAAAATAGCACTTTAAAAAACACACACCAAACCAATGAGTACAGTACTAATGGTAATGTTGGGTTTTAATTCACAAAGGCTAAGGTTGCAATCCTATGACTTGGGACTTACTCCTAAGTCAGCATACATAGATCCAAGATGTAAATGTGTTAACTTGGCTTGAGGACAGGAAAGGCTTCTACTCATAAGTTGACAGAATAGTTGGTTTGTTCCCAAATTATGAGACACTTATCATTACCTTTAAAGAAACCACCTTTTATTAAAGGTAAAGGTAAAGGTACCCCTGCCCGTACGGGCCAGTCTTGCCAGACTCTAGGGTTGTGCGCTCATCTCACTCTATAGGCCGGGGGCCAGCGCTGTCCGCAGACACTTCTGGGTCACGTGGCCAGCGTGACAAAGCTGCATCTGGCGAGCCAGCGCAGCACACGGAATGCCGTTTACCTTCCCGCTGGTAAGCGGTCCCTATTTATCTACTTGCACCCGGGGGTGCTTTCGAACTGCTAGGTTGGCAGGCGCTGGGACCGAGCAACGGGAGCGCACCCCACCGCGGGGATTCTAACCGCCGACCTTTCGATCGGCAAGTCCTAGGCGCTGAGGCTTTAACCCACAGCGCCACCCGCGTCCCACCTTTTATTAGTTCCCAGTAAAATGAGATTTCTTTAAGGTCATAAGTACATAGGGTATAAAATATTCTGATGTTCATGATTCAAACACTTTACAACTCCATCAGAAGAGAAGCTGTCTTGTAATATCTTAAAGTGATGTTCCTTAACGTACACACGAACCACATTATTTTACAAAACTATGGAACAGATGGTCCAGATCAGGTTCTCAGCTTTAACAGTTACACATTCTCTGTATCCTTGATCAACAACTAATCACAGATGGACACATTTAAATATTTGCAGCCCTATACATCTCTTTGGGCACAGACGTCACCTGTTATATATGCTTGCAAGAAGAAAGTATTAGACCATCTTCAGCTGCCAGTAGCTATGGGAATTAAGGCTGCATTTGTTCCACCACTTCATAAATTAAATGCAGTTTTGATCTTGGTCTGCATGTCAGCTGTATTGTTTGTATGTGTCACTTGAGCATAGTAATAGATACAAGCTTTTCGAATGTCAGTGTGATTTCAAGCAAGCAAATGTATGGCCAGCAAAAGATGGATAGATGGATAGTACAAATGTAACACTAACCCATGGTTTAGTGCTATGTGCATGAGCTGGAAAAAGCCTGAAGACACATGCACACCCCATGAGATTTTTACAGTGTTTACTTTAAGTTTCCATGCAACCTGGCTTTTAGGTATCTGAACTAAGTATCATGGTTTAAAATAAATACTGATAGGTTTCTGAACAAAACAATTTCAAACCAGTCATGAAGCTGGCTTGATAAACCAAAATTTGTTTTAAATCATTTCCTATTTGGCTGCTACATTAACAAGCCAGGATTTGTGGAAAGTAAAACTTATATAGAATTCTATCAGGCCATGTGGGAGGGGAGCATACAAGTCAAGGCTCAGACATAGAACTAAGCCAAGTTTTAGTGCTACATACATACATACATACATACATACATACAAGCCAATTCTTTCATTCTTTTAAACTCTGAGCAAAAATGGATGAAGTCTTAGTATTTCATTTACATTTCTTTTTTTCCTTTCCCTTCTATAAGAAGCCGCATGGATCAAATCTACCATGACTATATGCGTATTTGCTCTGGTTCTGTATTCTAGGAATGTGCCATTCCAAGATGTATTACTGGCATGATGTACAGAAACATTCAACGTGAGAGGGCAGAAAATGAGGTCTTGCACAGGAAGCACAATAAAAGCTCATCTCCTTGCTTAAGGGGTTTTTGTTATGACAAAGTTTGGCTAGAAAAGCTAATGTTTATGTACGTAATGTACTTAAGGTCTGTATATTCCTTTTACAGACACAGTCTCCCCATCTTCTTTAATACGCTGTAAATTGTAACCCCCTTGGCAAAGATACAAAATAGATTAGAGCAGATACCTCCCCTTGGAGATATAGATCATTACATCCATAACTCACAATGGGGAAAATCACTGTGAATCATTTCCAGTTTTAACTTTAATATTTATTGAAAAGAAACCGTTTACTCAACTTCCACAATTTATTCAGAAAAGTTTTGAGGGTATAACTTTTTTTTTTAAAAAAAATGTAATTAAATATGTTTTGATATTAGTGTAATAACTTAACGGGTATACACAATTGGGGGGGGAGGAGTTCCATTTAAGGATCCTAACTCCACTGTTTAATGGTGTTATCCATAAGAAATTCCAAAAGGCATATCTGCCAAGGACGCATGTACTAGTTTAGCTCTGAAATGTAGTCACAATAAATAGTAATAATCTGTCAAAGACACCTTTGAACATGAATTCTTCCTTTAGCAGAGAGCTCACTATGTCTAGTGTTTGAGGCCTTGACAATTTTGATCTACACAGAATCACAATTTTAATACAAATATTGTATAGCAATGAAAGATCACTTTGAAAGCAGAAAGAACAAGGACTATGGAAGTAGCAGACAATTACAACTATACACACAATACACACAAATAGCAATACTTTTTAGGAAAATGATTTAGTGCTCATGCATCACAAATGAAATAATCCCAGTCCTCAACTACTAAATTCAAAGTGCAAGTTCAAAGATAGTTGGGACTTTAGCTGGAACACTAATGCCATTGTGTCCATACTAAATGTTTTGCTCAATTTGCATTTCTGGACATATTTTTTTAAAAGCTAGTGGAGTTAATACATCATCCCAAATAGTGACCCTTATTACAGCTCCACTTTCAAAGTTAATTTATTAAAGAAGCAAGACTAGAAAGCACTTAAGAATGACATTCCCTCAAAACTTTCCACTGGCTGGATACATGCACCTGCAAGTGCATCTGATAGATCTATGAGATCGACTAACTGTTTCAAATGGCAAGTAGGCATATCTATCATCAAGTCAATCTGCTCATCAGAAGGTGTGTACCACTACTATATGAAGCAGCAAGGTGAAGACCATCCCTGCTCACAAATCCACTCATACAGTCCAGTCTACTGCTTGACAAGGTAAACTGGGACATTTACTTTAATATCAGTTCTGCTCTTTGCACATGTCAACTGTTCCTCCAGCAAGTACAACAGAAGAACAAGGAATAGTTTGCCCTCCTGGTTATAGAAACATAGCCTACTTGTCAGCAAGGATTGCAATATTCCACGAGTTGCCTGGTGCTTTATTTTTAAAGCATGGCTGCTACTATGTACCTAAAAATAGGCATTCTGGGACACACATAGAATTTGCCACTTTTCAATTTTTAAAGAATAGCAACATTGTCTTTCCTTTACAGGATACCTGACTTAAAAATGGAATGGAAATATTTTTGTTTTCAAAGCAACAGTCCTAATGAAGTTAGGGTAGTAACATTGCATTACTACATGAAGCTCTAGAGTAGTAGCAAGCACGTCTTGAAGAAAACTGCTCCTTTACACCATTGTGCTGTGTTGCCTTTTACATTAAGGAAGTGACCCTGGTTTGAACTCTCTGCTGAACAAGAGAAATAGAAGTAAATGACTGATTGGGGAACTGTATCCATTCAGCTATCTGCTCCCTCCTGGGGTCTTGCCAAATGGGATTTCTTTCAACTGGGCCAGAAACAGCATATCACAACCTCTAATCTTAAAACCCATCGTATGGCTTCATGACCACTTAACTCTCCCTTTCCCACTAAATTTTCCCCACCAGAATACTCACTGTATTTTATTATCAAGATCCAAAAGCTTATCCTCTCATAATTTACCTATTTTGTGTAGGGATGGAGCTAAAGGTACTTCCACATAAGGACCCCCGTTTTCAGAAAACTGATAAATCCCAAATCCTTATTACTAGTTCAGGTGTGAATTCTGCAGTGGCCCAACTGGAGAGATGGCTCACTTTCAGCCTGCTAGTTCAATGCTTTGGCTAGACGCGAAACAAATCTAAGAGGCCTTAAAAACTGTTTCAACCTTTCCACTCTGCAGGAATTGCGGGGTGGGGAGACCCCTCTTCTTATCAACTGATCAACAGAAACAAAATAGCCATGTGTACTCAAGAAGCACACTGAGTAAGAGTAACACAAGTGGGTGCCACATACCCCCCATTTAACTCTGCGAACCCCTGGCAGGCCACACACCCGCCCCCCCCCAAAGCCAGCAAGTGAAGGTCCCATAGCAGCAAAGCCAAGGGCTCCCATTCCCTCGCCAGAATCAGCAAACACCCAACCCTGTACTTTCCACCCTGGAAGCAGCCTAGTCCTCCCCCTTCTCCCTTTCTCTCTGCATCCCCATTCTCCATCCCTGCAAGCATCTTCGCCGCTCCTCCATTATTTTCCCCGAGGCCTTCGGCCTCCCATTTCAAGCCAAGCCTGTTAAAAGAAAGCAACACCGCCGAGAAGGGAAGAGAAATCGAAAGAAAATGCCAAGGCAACTTACCACCCAGGTTAAACCCCCGCTGCCGCCGCCGCCGCCTCCTCCTCCTCCACCTCCTCCGCCGCCGCCTCCACCTCCTCCACCTCCTCCTCCTGATTTTGCCATTTTTTGGCCCTCACCTCAGTATAAATAATTATAAATATATATATATCTACAAAAGCCTTTTTCCCCCAAAAAGAAAAGTGGGGGGAGGGGAAAGAGAAGCCACCCGCGGCCGGCACAGGGCTGCAGGGGCGCGCACGCACACACACGCTTCTCTCATGCACCGCAGGTTTGGGGGGGGCGGCGGCGGCGTGTGTGTATGGGGGGGTGGGGGGGTGTTCCTTCCCACACAGAGAAAGATCCTTTTCCCACCCAGCGCGCGCGCCCGCGCGCCCTCACACACACACGCACGCACGCGCAGTCCGACGGGCCCCCAAGTTTGCCCTCACGCTAATGCGCGCGCGCGCATCCACACAACGAACAACCCCCCCTTCCCCCCCCTCTCTCTCTCTCACACACACTCTCTTTCGCTTTGTGGGCCGCGCGCCCGCCCGGCCGCGCGAACACTCACACCGCAGGCTCTCCTCCCTTGTCCCTCCTCCCTTCAAAGGTCCAGCACGCAGGCGCGCGCCCACGGCCACGCGCGTAGTACCTTCCCCCCCGCCCTTTCCTGTCTCTATAGCTGGAGCTGAGGGCCACGGACGTTTTATTTCACGTTTGAGCTTTTCACCTCAGCCTAAAACAGATAGATAAATAACGGCCGGCCGTCTGAAGGACGGAGTGTGTGTGTAGAAGGGTGACCAAAAAAAAACACCTCTCTCTCTCTCTCTCACACACACACACACACCCGGCCCGTGAGGGACCAGAATATGTCTTTTTTTAAAAAGAGCTCCTTTTCCGGCGCTGTTCTCGGCGGAAATGTTGGGCGGCGGCAGCGTAGACGAGACCCGGCTTGAGGACCTCGTCCACACGGGCAGCTGAGGAACCCGCTTGGCTCCGAATTGGGAAGGAAGGACCCGCGGAGGAGGGCTCGGGGCGGAATTAAAAGGCCGCCCGGCCTAACCGCCAGCGGCTCCCTGCAAGCGCCGAGGCCCCAAAGCCTCAGACAATAACTGCGCTGCCCCTCCCCCCCGCCCCACCGCCGTCCAGCATAAACCACCGCAGCCACCGAGCGCTCCCGGTTCCGCCCTTCCCTTCCCTGTCAACCAATTAGTGCCGCGCAAGTCTCATTTTCGGCCAATCGTTTAAAAAGAAAAAGCCCCCGTCAAACGGGCGTGCCTACGTCACCGCGTGCGGCAAGAAGACGCCTGCAATCCCTTGTACTTCCCCAATTGTGGTGAGGCGAGCCGCAAGGCCGTGGCGCTGAGGTAAAAAAAAAAAGTACGGGAGAGCCACTGGTGCCTGGTAGCTGCTCCCTTCAGCTCCGGGCGTCCCGGTCCAGGTCAGGGACAAAGCCTAACCGCCCGCCTAGACCAACTGAACTAAGCTAAGCGATTTAAGTACTACTTTACCCAATGGGATCCGCGTAAACACGCATAAGGAAACACGTGTATAGCGATTCCTGTTCCTACATGGGTTTGTGCACTTGGGAACAGCTCTTCAAAACAGGCCCGTGAGAAAGGACTGTTCCCAAACACAATGAATCATAGAATTGTAGAGTTGGAAAGGGACCACGAGGGTCATCTAGTCTACCCCCCCCCCCCCCGCCCCGCAGTGCAGGAATCTCAGCTAAAGCATCTATGACAGATGACCTCTGCTTAAAAACCTCCAAGGAAGAAGCCATTGGTTCAAGTCTCATATCCTCCCTCCAGAGCAGGAGAAAACAAGCATGCTACCTCTTCCATGTGGCAGCCCTAAAGATATTTGAAGATGGTTATCACATCTCCTCTCAGTCTTCTCTTTTCCAGGCTAAACATGCCCAGCTCCTTCAAGCGCTGCTTGTAAGGCTTAGTTTCCAGACCCTTGATCATCTTGGTAACTGCACACGTTCTAGCTTGTCAACATCCTTCTTAAATTGTGGTGCCCAGAATTGGACACAGTATTCCAGGAGTGGTCTGACTAAGGCAGAAGAGAGTGGCCCTATTACCGTATTTTTCGCTCCATAAGACACACTTTTTTCCTCTTAAAATCTAAGGGGAAATGTTTATGAGTCTTATGGAGCAAATGTGTGGTCCCTGGGGTTGGGGGAGGGAACCCGGGCTTCTCCCAACAGCCCCGACCTGCTCTTTGGGGCTGGTGGTGGGGCAAAGCCGGGCTTCCCCCACCCCCAGCCCCCACAAGCTCCTGAGCAGCTCTGGGGTAGCCCCCGGAGCCTTCATCCCGCTGCTCTGGGGAGGCTTCGTGCGGCTATCCCTGGCTTTTGCAGGAGGTGGGGGAAGGGACAGAGAGAGGCTCTCTCACTTCCCCCACCTCCCGCAAAAGCCCCCAAGAGCCGCATTTTTTTCCCTTGAATTCCCCCCCCCCAAAAAAAAGTAGGTGCGCCTTATGGTCAAGTGCGCCTTATGGAGCGAAAAATGCGGTACTTCCCTTGGACACTATACTTCTCTTGATGCAGCCCAGAATTGCATTAGCTTTCTTTGGTGCTTCATCACACTGTTGTCACATGCTAAGCCTGTGGTCCACCAAGACCCCTAGATCCTTTTCACATGTACTGCTAGTAACCCAGGTGTCCCCCATCCTATATTTGTGCAGCTGGTTCTTCCTGCATAAGTGCAGAACCTTAAATTTGTCCATATTGAAATTCATTTTGTTTGCTTGCGCCCAGTTCTCCAATCTGTTAAGTTCATTTTGAATTCTGATCCTGTCTTCTGCAGCATTAGCTACCCCTCCCAGTTTGGTACTGTCAGCAAATTAGATGAGCATCCTCTCAATTTCTTCATCCAAGTCATTTATAAAGATCTTGAATAACAACGGGCCCAGGACAGAACCTCCGACACCCCACTTCTCGCTTTCCCCCCAAGATGATGAGGAACCATTAATGAGTACTTTTTGGGTTCGGTCAGTCAACCAGCTATGAATCCACCTAACAGTTACCTTGTTCAACCCACATTTTATCAGCTTCCTCACAAGAATAAATGGGGGACTTTGTCAAATGCCTTACTGAAATCAAGCTACACTATGTCCACAGCATTTCCCTGACCCACCAAGTTTGTAATTCCATAAAAAAAAGAAATCAGATTGGTCTGGCATGACTTGGTTTTGAGAACCATGGTGGCTTAGTAATCACAGCATCCTTTTCCTAATGCTCACAGACCAACTGTTGACTTATGTGTTCTAGGATTAATGGTATCAGTGTCAAGCTCACCAAGTTGATAGTTACCTGGGTCTTCCTTTCCCCCCTTTTTGAAGATGGGGACATTTGTCCGCCTCCAGTCTGTAGGGACCTCACTTGTTCTCTCTCCAACAATTCTCAAAGGCTCTGAAATTACACCCAGAAGCTCCTTTAGTACCCTTGGATGCAGCTCATCAGGCTCCGGAAATTTAAAGTAGCTAGGTGTTCCCTTACTACCTCTTTTCCTATCTTGGGCTGCAGCTCCCTCCTTACATCATTTATCTATGACCCTGAGATTAAGAATCTCATGCTCTACTAACTGAGCTATCCCATACGAATCTGAGATAAATATTTCATCAAACACCTTCAGTTTATCCTTTTCTCCCCCCTGCCCTTTCAGTGGTACTTTCCTGGGTTTGTGCCATTTTTCTCAAGGGCAGTCTGCTGAATCTTAAACTAAGTCAGGATGTTACAAGAACATGGATAACTGTGGCACAACTATGTTTTGTCTAGGAGGAGCTGCATCTGTTACAGAAAGGCCTTTTGTGCACAAATACATCCCAAGCAAACCAAAGGCCTTCCCAGAACCAGCTAACAGCAGCTCCATGTTCTGTGGATTAAGCTTCAGTTTATTATTTCTCATCTAGCCATTACTGATTCCAAGCTGTCATGCCTGATTCAGGTATAAAGAAAATATAGTTGGGAGTCATTAGCATATTGTTCACATCTCATTCCCATTCTCCAGACAATTTCATACAGAAGTTTCGTGTAAATGTTTATGTAAGATAAAAACTTGAGGTTTCAAAGCACAAGTGCCATAGCACCAAACCACAATTCCCTCAGTCTTCTGGAATGTGCACACCAGGAAGAAGCAGAACCACTGCAAAACAGTACCTCCTATCTCCATCCTAGAAAGATCATCCGCAAGGATTGCATTTTTAGAAGAATCGAAACAAGCTAAAGAGAGGTCTATGAGAAGCCATAAGACCACAGTCCTCTGTTTTATGTATTTATTTATTTTACTTATTAAATACATACACTTCCTTTCAACCAAGGATCACAGGGCAGTTTACAGTTTAAAAACACATAAATACAGAACATAATAACAAACAAAACAATACTCTCTGCCACCAGTTTTAAAGGGCCATAGATTGTTTAATTAGCCAAAGGCCTGGGAGAAAAGGGATTTGTTCGCCTGGCATCTTTCATCCATTGCAGATTATTTGTGAAGTGCCAAAGTCACACCTTAATACAGACTGAAATCAGATAATCAACTTCATCCAAGAGCACCCAGACATATGCAGACATAACTCATTCAAGCACGTTTCTCCCAAGAAAGATTGGCAACTAGCCAGTATTTATTAAAATTCCCTGTTATACACATATATAACCTTTCAAAATCCCCGTACTCTGAAATTACTACAAATAAGGATCTGCATAAGGCACTACAAATGTTTATGTGTTGGAAACATAAACATATATAGAAACATTTTATATCCTGCTCTTCTATGAAGAAGTAACTTGGGAGCCATTGCCTCTGGTTCAGAAGGTCTGGTTGAGAAAATGTGATACCATTGTTAAAACACAGCTGTACTGCCTGCCCTACCTTGCCCAAGCCAGGTTCAAAGTTCTTGTATTCATTTGTAAAGCAAGTTAGATGTAGGGTACCTCAGGGATTACCTGAACACTTATATCCCAGCTTGATCACTGAGCTTATCTACAGGAGCATCACTGGCTGTTTAGAGTTGGCAAGCCTCCTTTGACAAGAAGAAACTGAGCCTTTGATGTCATCAGCCCAGTCCTGTGGAATACTCAACAAATAGAGATTTAGCAAGTGCCTTCTGTGCCAACTTTTACATGCCTGCTGAAAACTTTTCTATTCAGCCAGGCCTATGCAGGAAATTAAGAGTGCATTCCCCCCAAATGGGTTACTGACCTCTGTTTTTAACTTTTAGCTTGCTATGCATTTATTGTATGGTTTTATCTTATTTTCCAGATCATCATCAGAGCCTGCAGAAAATGCAGAAATAATGGTCTATCACCCTACAGGACTAGACAGCCATGCATGTCAGGTCATGGGAAGAATGTGATGAGACATGCTTATGCATTCACGAGACTCTCAATTCAGGCTGTGGCAATATTGTTTTTCCCAAGACACACAGTTATGTTCCACCATTGTCAAACCAGTATTACAGCTTTCAGGCATACGTTCCTGCTGTGCTCAATTCATATAATAAACCTTTATTTAGTGCACCCTAACTTTTATGCACAACACCATTCATTTATTTACTGAAAGTATTTTTATGCTATACCTCAGCCAAAGAGGCTCCTAGAGCAGGCTTAAAATCTACAACACAAGACACACAAGGCAAAAGCAAACCCAGGTACCAGCTCTGAATGTTGCAAAGTTCTTAAAGAGATCAGCTGGGTCTCAAAAGTTCAGGGAGAAAAGTAGCAAAAAATGAGCTAATCTCTCAGCAGAGTGGATGGAATAGCTCTGCTTCCCATCTGATGGAAAAAGAAAAGCCACATCTCTTATATAAATGGAATATAGGACATTAAATGTGCAGCAGAATGAGCTACTAGTTTTAGCCTAAGCTTTTATGAGTCAAGGTAGTTTCCTAGTCTATGGAAACTGATATCATCAATGGAGGCTGGGGGCTTTCCTACAGATAAGCTAAAGAAGTGTTTTACAATAGAGGTGGCTAGTTGATGGACTACAATTCCCATCATCCTTTACCAGTGGCCATGCTGGCTGGAGCTGATGGGAGTAGGAGTCCAACAACATTTTGAGGGCACCATGTTGGCTATCCCTCAGTGGCTGAACATTCCAGTCTCCAAGAATTAACATACTTTGACAAATATTGTTCAGAGTAGTTTAGACTACTAAGTTGCTGAATAAGAGTTCACTTGATTTGCATGGCTGACACTTTGGAAAAGAAACTACACCCCATATATAGCATTAAAGCATTGATTAGCATTAAAGCATCTCATACAGTATTAGGTGCAATTTTGAAATGCTTTGGCCCGGCTGGCACTATTCACCTTGATTTTAGGACTGGGTCTGAGGACAAAACTCTCTTATTTTGGCTGCAACAGACTAACATGGCAATCCTCTCAGAAACTTTAGCATATTACCGATATTTTTTTTACAATCCTGCTCCTTCACTGAACCTAACTCTAACCAAATTTACCGGTCATTTTATTCATCTGATAATCTATAACCTGCACAAACTCATGCCACAATAAATGTGTTCGTCTGCAAGGTACCAAAGCCAGAGGGTTGTTATTCTTCACTATATGACAACTTCTTATGGAATGATCTTTTCCGTTCTGTGCACAGTAGGTTCAAACCCATGGCGAGAATACCTGCAATTGAATTGTTATCCGATTGCGGATCCCTTCTAGGTTTCCTGATATACAGGATGTTTGGACTGTACTGTTTTGAATTTATGAACTGTAAAGGCCCAAATAACATTCAAAACACAAAGAATTATTTTCCTTCGAAAAGTGCACATTTCCCCCAGTGCCCATCTCTTCATATTTTGTTTTAACTTAGCCTCTTTACTAAGATATGTTGCCTGTATGTAGACTTCTGCTCACATAAAAATTTTCCGTTAAATGGAGAACGTAAGTCCAGTTGTGTATGCCAAACTGAGTTCAAAATTGCTTACGCTCTGGTATGTGTATAGGATTGCAGCATAATGACCATAGTAAAATGTAGGGTTTAAAATTTGAATAGTGGATCTATTTCTAATATTTTTATTAAGAGGTTTTTAGTGATTTAAGCATGATTGCATTTGCAAAGCTTCAGTGTTCCTTTAGAAAGTCAATATAATAGGCAAAACATGTTTAGACCCTTATGATCACTTGTGCAATATGGAGGATCATCTTTAACTTTCTGTCCATCCTTTTGAATGCCGAGACACTGGGTTGTATCCAACGTTAGTAATACTCAGAGTAGACCCATCAAAACAAATGGACATGACTTAGATCTATTAATTTCAATGGGTCTACTCGGAGTAGAACTTAGTTGGCTACATCCCTATAAACATGTCTATAATTGACTTTAGTTTCACACTGGTTTTATAGAATCATAGTAGAGCTGAAAGGAATCACAAGCATCAACTAGTCCAACTCCCTGCAATGCAGGAATCTTTCCCTCCAATGTGGGACTCAAACCCATGACTCTGAATTTTTTGTTGTTGTTGTTTAGTTGTTTAGTCATGTCCAGCTCTTCGTGACCCCATGGACCAGAGCATGCCAGGCACTCCTGTCTTCCACTGCCTCCCGCAGTGTGGTCAAACTCATGCTGGTAGCTTCAAGAACACTGTCCAACCATCTCGTCCTCTGTCGTCCCCTTCTCCTTGTGCCCTCCATCTTTCCCAACATCAGGCTCTTTTCCAGGGAATCTTCTCATAAGATGGCCAAAGTATTGGAGCCTCAGCTTCACGATCTGTCCTTCCAGTGAGCACTCAGGGCTGATTTCCTTCAGAATGGATAGGTTTGATCTTCTTGCAGTCCATGGGACTCTCAAGAGTCTCCTCCAGCACCATAATTCAAAAGCATCAATTCTTTGGCGATCAGCCTTCTTTATAGTCCAGCTCTCACTTCCATACATCACTACTGGGAAAACCATAGCTTTAACTATACGGACCTTTGTTGGCAAGGTGATGTCTCTGCCTAGATAGCATCTTAAAAAGCAGAGACTCTGAATTTAGCTATGCTTAAGTCTCTTTGAAATCAATGGATAAATGAGTCACAAGTCCAATGAGACTTGGACCAGGGCCATTTCATCTACAGCAGCAAGTGTGCAAGAACAAAGCTTTCTGCAGCAACTTAAGCTAGCTAATAGTAAAATAGTGAGTTCAGCAATCTTAGTGCACCTTGCACCAAACCCTGCTCTGATGCAACCCCCATTCATTTCTGTTGGATTGGCATTAAAACAAAAGCCAGTTAATATTGTGGCATTACACTTTTTAAAGCCAGTATAAGCATCCAGTGATCTGTGGCAGGCATGGAGCCCTCCCCAAAGTTTTTGCAATAACTTCAGTGGAGAGCCAGACATATGTGAATTCCTAGATTTGCTTGGAACATCTTCATCTATTGACATGAAGTGCTTCTGCACGCAATTAATTTTATAGGCATTTTGGTACATACATACATGGGGGCCTAGATTGTCAAAGGTCTGTTCTGCATGCATCAAGCTGACCCAAGACAGCATTTCTTGAGTGACTACAAGCAACGTAACAGAAGTAGCAGCTTTACAAAAACTGGGTAAATCCAAATTTATACAGTACAAGATATGCAAAAAGATGTTTTTTATTTATCACAATAAAAGCCAGAACAGGATTTCAGGGACACAATACCTTTATTTTTTCCAACCAAGCTCCAAAATATTTAGTTCTAGTATATCTATATATAAAAAATTTCATCTGGGGAGATTTAAGGAGGACTTAACAGTCATCAAAATTAGCTCTTTGTCTACAAAGTTTCAATTCCGAAAGCCTAATAAATTCAAGCAAAAATTATATCAGGAGCTAGTAATCATTCTGCAGTTCCATAATCTTACTTCAATATTAGGAATGCAATAAATTGTCTATTATAAAATTATGAGCAAACAGATGACATAAAACATAACATGAGGCATTTTTAACAAATTCCAAAATCCAGAGTTGAAAGAAGCTAAAATCTTCATTCAGTTGTAATAAAAAAACACCTTTCAGTATAGATTGAACATAAGAAAATATTAATTTTCAATTATATGCAACCTAAGAGTATGCATGTTTACTCAGAGGTAACTCCTACTTTGTTCAATGGAATTTACTTTCAAGTAAATGTGCATAGAATTGCAGACTTAATTTCTCTTGCCTTTTAAATGCAAAGTGATGCATCTTTCCCCTTTGATATGTAACTATTTGGTGCTAGTTTTCAAGGATTTATTTTTCACATTAACAAAATTTGTTTCTTCTCAACAGTCATAAGAAAGATACAATGTTTTAGACAAGACGTTTTCACGTAGTTCATATATTTCTCTTATATTTTGTGCCAGAAGTCCTTGCTTGATACAGATGCCTTCTGTAAATATCTATCTAGATATTCAAAGATCACTGAATTTTAAAATGATCTCAAAACAATCCTCAGCCTCATTTAAACTTTGCCTAAACAGCTGAGTGTGTTGCCATGCAATATCACCTTCCCCGCCACTTAGTTCAGCTTCCAAGATAACATCTGTTACGTTGGAAATACCAGGATAAGAATGAAGACTTTTATCTACAAAGAAGGGAAAGACAATTTTTTTTGTTAAAAAAGCAGTACGTATTAAATACCAATATAAAACAATAATTTTAGAAGGATAGTGTTAAAGAAACACTGCAAATTAATTTTTGTTTAATGACAATTGTATGGACCATTGTCAAAATTAATTTATTATTCATAGTTTTTTATGCTTTATCTGCTTCAGGAAAAATCCTAGATATACTAAAATCAAGTAGGGATTTGTGATGCCTGTTCCAATGTATAGCCCAAGACACAAGCTTATTGAATGTTAGTATTTAAACTGACTTAGGACTTCTCTTCTTTGGACACCCCCCCCAGGTCACGGTCATACGTAATGTACATCTGATCTGCATTGTAAACATCTGGAAATTGGTGTCTGTGTTGTTGTTTTTATCATGCCAAAAATTATTCCAGATTGGTGGAGATGGGTTAGATGGGCCTACACTGTCTCCAGGACAGAAAGCAATTTAGAAAATGCAAAACAAGCACATTTAAAGGAATACGGTCATGCCATTTTAATGTGCAATCATGCAAAGAATTTAAGGGGGGGGGATGAAGAGAATTATGAATTATGAAACCAAACAATGCCCATATACCCTTGGAGGGTAAGCAGAGAGCAGAAGAGGGTCAAAAAGGGTTCTGAAGGGGAAATCTCATTTGTTCATTCAGTTGCTGCAGTTCCAACTAGGGCTGTTTTAACATTGTGATTAATCAGCAGCTACATATTGTGATGTACTGATACATCATGATGCCTGAAATTGCCCAGTCCCACTCATGCCCACTCCTCCCTCTACAAGGTCCAGCCACTGCGAGGGGCGATCGATGGGAAGGCGGTGCTTTAAAATCACTGGGAAGGATCTGCCTGCCTAGCTGCCAGGGGCGATAATACTAGGCGAAAAATACCCACCAGCCACGGATTCAGAGCAATCAGTGCCTAAACCCACGGATTCAGAGCAACCCTAACCCTAACCCTAACCCCCCCCCCCGAAAGGAAGGAGTTTTGGGAAGCAGCAGACCTAGCGATCTGAGCTGGGCAAGATAAGAGGAACTGTTGCCAGACTACTGCTTAAGTCAGCTGGTCATAACACAGAAAAGCGTATTTCCAAGTGGCCGGGGCACTTCCCCCCCCCCCCCACTATCTCTCTCCCTCTCGCTCCTTCCCTCCCTCGGTTGCTATCGTATCTCTTCCTGGGTTCCTCCTTCAGCCTCCTTTGTAGTTTTCACTTGCAAAGAAAACAAACCCTGAACAGATGTTTCTCTGAGTGTGGGATCCTGGCATTGCATGCTCCTTTCCAGTTGTTGCCCCTTGCAGTGGCTGGGCTGTGGAGGATGGGGATGGGCAGGAGTAGTGACCAGGAGGAAGAAGGAAGGATGCAGCCCGTTTGCGAAGGAAGCAAGGCACAAGCAGGCAGGCTCCCCTGGCTATACATTGCAGGCTCAAAAATGTTATCACAATGTGCTCTTCACACCGGTTTCAAACGATTTATTGATATATCGCACAGCACTGGTTCCAACCACAGCTTTCAATGATGCTTTGCCAATGGCAGGAGACCAAAAGTTCTCCTGCCTCAGAATAATCCAATGTTTGCAGCCAAATGCCAGATTCATGTCTAATAAAGACCCAAAACAAGCAACCCTATGGGCCAAAACCACAGGAGAGATGAACAAGACAGTCTATAACGGATGCCTTATCTAAGTCTCGTTTGCAGGTAATGAGATGAAATCAGCGTTATAGCTTCTATGGAACGGGTAGCAAATTATATTGTTTGTCAGGTCTGTCATCTATGTAAGCAAGGAAGGGGAACCTTTGGCCAGCGGATGTGGATCTCAGGTTTTCCATTTGGCCCATGAGGCCTTCTTCTTGGCTTCTGAGCTAGCTGCGACAAGAGGGTTGTCTCTTCTTCACAACCAGAACAGAAGTACAGCAAATTGGCTGGCAGGGACCCAGTCTAGATTGGGAACCCAGGAGATGGAAAAGGGGCTTTAAATGGTTTGGCCCTTGCTGTGGGGTCCAGGTCCCGATTGTGCTCCTGCACCTGTAACTTGCATTGAGGGGGAAACTAAAGCAAATACTATGCAAACGACAGAAGTGGAGCGGGGGGGTGGGGGTGGAGAAGGATCTGAGGCAATATGGCCATGAGCACATTGAGGGAATGCAGCCCTTGATGGGTGGGTGGAGCAAGAGAGGCTCACCGCCCCAATATGCAACAAAGAGAAGCTCAGAATTGTATATGTTCCTTTTTTCAATCCACAAAATCTAGAAAAAACAGTAGCATCCTATAGATGCTTGACCGAACTTAGCTCCCACTGCATCCAATGGTGCTCACTCCCAAGTAAGTGGGTTTAGGATTACAGTGGTACCTCGGGTTAGATACACTTCAGGTTACAGACTCCGCTAACCCAGAAATAGTACCTCGAGTTAAGAACTTTGCTTCAGGATGAGAACAGAAATTGTGCTCCGGCAGCGCAGCAGCAGTGGGAGGCCCCATTAGCTAAAGTGGTGCTTCAGGTTAAGAACAGTTTCAGGTTAAGAACGGACTTCTGGAACAAATTAAGTACTTAACCCGAGGTACCACTGTACTACTTTGAGATGTAATATTACCCACACTTGCCTAAGAGTAAGCCCCACTGAAAACAGTAGGGTTTACTTCTGAGGAAAGATGGGCAGGATTGTACTGTAAGTAAGAAACACCCGAAGTTCGATTTCAGCCACTGACTTTTCTAGTGACCTTGGGCCAGCTAGTATCACTCAGTCTCACGTCTGTAAAATGGAACTGATGGCTTACTTTGCATGGCTGTTGTGATGATGAATAAGCATTATTAACAGTATAAGATAATGCATAGTTAAAAGAATAGACATAAATGAATCGTAATTGCTCTTGCTTTGCTTGCAAGTGCACTTTCAAAAAATGAGGAATTTCACACTTGCCTCCGTTTACATCAACTACAGTGTTGCCAGATCGCAGCATCCACCTTACTTTTCCACTCTGAAATGTCTGGCTGCTCGTTTTGACTGAAATGCTGTCAATTTTTAGCCCAACTGAGCCACACTCAAACTTCCAGCAGATGTAACCAGATAATGATCCTTCTTTTCGAGCTAAATAAACCTATTTAGAAACAAAATGCATACATGAAACACTAAAAAAACTTATATTTGTTAAAGCTACAATCTTGTAAAGCAAAACCTAAGGGATCTAAGTATGCACCTGATGACAATTCTATGTCTGTTAATTCAACGAACATCCCGCTGAACTCAATGAGAGTTACTCCATAGCTAGCAAGTGTGTTTAGGCAAAATGGGACTTATTCTGGAGCAAACATGCATTATTGGACTGAATTAGTAACAGCAATTATGAATAGCTCAATTCATTACTGAAACATACATAATAATACTTTGCAGAATTCTCATACATCATTTTGATTTTATTGTGGAATTGATTTGCTGTTTATGCCCAATGCTAAAAATGTTTTCTTCTTCATATTGTAATCTGCCAGTCTCCTTTCCTTGGGTTTGTGAGCTTATGTTCCAACTGTTATTTAGATTCTTTAATGCAAGGTGACTGACATACTTTGGTGCTTTGCAGATGGGGAAGTAACTCTTTGGATTAGGAAATTCTACCTACTCGTGTGCAATGAAAAAAAAAGATATAATGTAAAGACCCTTTTGTGAAGCTGAAAAATTAATTTTCTGGAAAGGCAGGGTTTCTTTTTTAACAGGCAGCTCTTATATCAGTCCACCTTTGAATGGGAAATGTCAGACTTAAGGTTTAATATCTGAACAGATATTTGTTATCTTCAGCCAACTCTACCATCCTGCTTTGAAAGACACACTGCTTTTTATTCCCAGCTACTCTGGTCATCCGGCAATCTTAGCTGAAGCTGGACATTAATATTTACCAACTCAAGCTGAACACACAAAAATCCACAGAAGCAAAAAAACAAAACAAAAAACCTTGCAGCTTCAAGATGATTACACTTAGAACGAGTAAGTTTTATAAAATAACTTTCCTTGGTACAATACTCACCATTTTCCAGTCTGATTCAACCTTTCTCCACATAGAGTCCATCCTCCATACTCCTTTTTCCCATCCACTAATCTTTTCATTATTATTGGATATCCGTGTGTAACAATCTTCTACTATATTGTACCTAAGGTGGAGAAGCTTAGAGGCCTTCTCTTTTCCAGTTGGAATAAAAATTCTTTCTTTGCTCTATTATGACCAAAGGTACAAATTAGGTTTTCATTAGATATTTATTAGCCCCCTAATTACTTATAACAAATATCTGCCACAGACACATGCACACATATATATGCAAGTATATTCTAGGGGTGACTTCAGAGATACAGTGGTACCTCGTGTTATGGGTGGGATCCTTTCCAGAGGCCCGTCCATAACCCATCCATAACGTGAAAAGCCCGCAACTCAAAGTGCCATGTTTGTGCAGGTGTGCAGCGTGATTTGGGGTTTCTGCACATGTGTGAGTGACAAAACCCGAAAGTAACCCATTCCGGTACTTCCAGGTTGGGACACAAGATGAAAACACGCAACTTGAAGTGGACGTAACATGAGGTATGACTGTATCTCTGAAAACTGATCACCTGAGTTGACCCATTATCATATTTCCTGTTATTCAGTGTACTTTCCCCTTAACCTCATCCTGATCAATCTAACGGCGAGGGCCAAAATAACCAGCAAAATGATGCCAAGGTCAAAGAAACAATCACAATGACTTGTTGCCAGGCGAATTCCTGACACAATTTGAGTTCTTTCCCGGAGAAGAATAAGAAGATTGTGAAAGCAATCTTCTTGCCTGATTTACCATCTTCAGAAACCAACAAGGCGGTTTGGCTTAATAATGGAGCAAACCTAGTTTATCTTCTCCCAGAACTGTCACATGTTAGCAGCTGTTCACGTGGGCCACCTCAGTGAGGGAGAAGAGGCAGCAATGACTTCTCCATTGCTTCAGTTGGGCATTGGGCTCCTTTCCAGAACTGCCCCCTCTGTACATGAGATCATTATGTAACAACATGACAAAATTGATACCACCATTTTCCATTATACCCCTCTTTCCTCCCCATTCCTTTCTTTCGCTTGAATCGTATACCTTAGATGGTACACCACCGTTTTAAACTGCAAGAGGGTTCGGTCAGTAAAACTGTATACAAAGTGTATGTAGTGAAAATAAATTAACAGACCCAAAACCCTCTGAGTAATACAGTGGAACCTTGGCTCTAGAACTTAATCCGTTCTGGGAGTCCGTTTGACTCCTGAAATGGTTCGAAAACAAAGGTGCGGCTTCCGATTGGCTGCAGGAGCTTCCTGCACTCAAGCGGAAGCCACATCAGACGTTCGGCTTCCAAAAAACGTTCGAAAACCGGAACATTTCCTTCCTGGTTTTCAGCATTCGGGAGCCAAAACGTACAAGTACTAAGGAGTTTGAGAACCAAAGTATGACTGTAACTGTATCACTTCTATATCCTATGCAGCAGTCAACACTAGATGTTAAATAGGAGGAGGGAGAACGCAACATTTGCAGGGTAAATTGTCTTGTCTAGGATAGTTTTGCTATGCCTAAATTGTGAAAGGGGGGCTCTGGAGATACCAGGGGGCATATGAAGGAATCAGAGACATACATATACCTTGGTATCTAATCTTCAGAAAGTCAATGACATTAAGGTGGAAGAAAAACATGCCAAGGGCCATTGGGAGGCTGCGCCTCTGCCTTTCAGAAATGGCATGATGGCAAGGAGGAGATGGACCTGCCCCCATCCATCAGCCAGGATGGACAGACAAGTTGCCCTGGAACTGCAGAGTTGAAGGGCAGATTGCTCAGGCCCCATCCCTCAGGCAAGTGACTAACAGCTGTGGGCTCTATGCGTTTGGGCTCTATGAGTGCAATTATTATCTCTTGTAAGTTGCCTTGGGGACAATTCAAAAAGCGGGATAGAGCTCTTGTAGAAGGTCCAGCTCAGAGGGCCTTCTGGCGGTTCCCTCACTGCGAGAAGTGAGGTTACAGGGAACCAGGCAGAGGGCCTTCTTGGTAGTGGCACCCACCCTGTGGAACACCCTCCCATCAGATGCCAAGGAAATAAACAACTATCTGACTTTTAGAAGACATGTGAAGGCAGCCCTGTTTAAGGAAGTTTTTAATGTTTGATGTTTTATCATGTTTTTAATATTCTGTTGGGAGCCACCCAGAGTGGCTGGGAAACCCAGCCAGATGGATGGGGTAAAAATAATAAATTATTATTATTATTAGTAGTAGTAGTAGTAGTAGTAGTAGTAGTAGTAGTAGGGCAATACCCTGCTATGCAACAATAAAATGCCACCATTAATCCTTCAGTCAAAGGATAAAACCAAAAACCAAAAACCTAGCACTTTTGCTTTGATGTCCACAAAACAAATCTATTTTGATTGCCCGGAGCAGATGTAATTGGGACAGCTGACAACAAATTTTGGAGTAAATTATTACTTTTATCCTAACAAGTTACCTGCTTTACTTTCGATTGCTTCCATCTATATATAGATCAGTGGGCGTTCGGGTTCTTCTTGTTCTCAATAATGGCTAAAACAAATATTACTATCACTACGTTGAAATCAATAGGACAAGTAACTCATGACTAATTACAGCATGATTAAATTTCTCTGGACTGGGGCCCTAAAGTCAATAAGCTGCAACTGGACCATAAACTAAGAATTCTAAAATGATCACCAATCGATGTATTAAATACCTCCAAAGCAATTTCACCTCTGGCGACTCTCCAAGCCACTGATCCCGATACCCTTCCGCCAAGTTCTCCCGGCTTAGGGGTTTTAGGAGAAATGAACTCAACGAGCTCCACAATTATTCTTTCTAAGAGCTCCCTTCTCCTTCCTTCCGTCAAAGACTGCTGTCTCTGTGATTTCAGAAAGCAATAATAAATAATAAAAAAATTAATTTCAGCTGTATTACCACTCTCCCTGGAGTAACAATTTTTTAAAAAATGCAAATCATTTGTTTCAATACAATCTCTTTGAATGTCAGAAACCACTGCAGATGGGCCAGATAACCATGGTACACGTAAAATTGTATTAATGCACCGTTTGAACATAAAGGCAACAGGAAAGTAGGTTGAAACCTTTTTCACATTGCTTTGGACCAGTATCAAATCTTTATAATTTACTTGGAAATTAACTTCTGGATTTACAGGGTTTGTATATCTTATTCCAACTCACTGCGTTCTGCTGAGCTCTAACATTTTATTACATAAGAGAGAAAATTCGAGGAAGGATAATGCCTGGATCAATTATTTTGTTCCACATAATTTACTGTCCTGATAGCATTGGTCTTGATACGGTGATTAACCTAATGCGTAAGTGGAAAGGTGATAAGATTCCCAAATGAAGGACACTTTTTCCCTGCGGAGCCTCACACGTTAAAATGAAAGTCCTAATTCAAGCCACAGTACACCAGTCACAATTCATGTAAGCCTCGAACAATTCTACTCATATATGGCAAAGATGGTCCCTTCAATGTACAATTCAGAAAGCGTTGAAAGCAATAGTATAAAAACAACAAAATATTTGGAAGGTGTGTTCGCTTTTGCTGTTGTTGCTGATAATCCTACAAAACAAAACATCCATTTCTTTTATGGGCAGAGTCAGGACCTGCAACCTCCCTGTGGAACGCCCTCCCATCAGATGTCAAGGAGATAAAGAACTAGACAACTTTTAGAAGACATCTGAAAGCAGCCCATTCACCTCTGCCCCTCGGAAGGTTTCCCGAGCAGCATCAGGAAGTTTGGAAATGCCGTTCTCAAATTGTTGCAATTTCCCAGAGTGACACGACATTGTGGGGCACTGTGAGAATGTTAAAATACCAAGTGGTTCATAGGCACCTGCCACAGACTGCAGTGGTGAGGCAGGCACACCTAGTAAGGTAAGGTAAAGGACCCCTGGACAGTGAAGTCCAGTCAAAGGCGACTATGGGGTTGCGGTGCTCATCTTGCTTTCAGGCCAAAGGAGCTAGCGTTTGTCCACAGACAGCTTTCCAGGTCATGTGGCCAGCAGGACTAAACCACTTCTGGTGCAACGGAACACTGTGACGGAAACCAGAGCGCACGGAAATGCCATTTACCTTCCTGCCACAGCAGTACCTATTTATCTACTTGCACTAGAGTGCTTTTGAACTGCTAGGTTGGCAGGAGCTGGGACAGAGCAACAGGAGTTCACCCCGTCGCGGGGATTCAAACTGTCATTCCAACCACATAAAAAGTCATTCCCCCAAAAAAATGATAATAAAAAAAGCAGGAACAAAATTTCACAACACGTTGCTCTATTAACAACTTTGAACTGCAACACGGGAGACACTGTAGATTTGTCTTGGTCTGGTGCATGTAACATCTTTCGTTCTGTAGTTGTGAGATTTGTGCTTATATTGTATTGTGACGGCCGTTGGCTATAAATAACAAAAATCTATTGATTGACTGAGTCCCCAATTCAAGGGCAGCTTACGTTGCAATACTTGTGCAATTTTAACCAGCCTGCTAAAATAAAGCGACCCACCACATTATTAAGGTTATTGATAGTTTCTCGTAGGACTGCTTCTTTGACCTGGGTCCTCCGTGGGAGCAGGTCCTCATGTTTACAAGAGTAGCGCCAGGTGACATCAACAACCTGAAAAACATGAGTTGAAAAAGAAGGGGGGGGAATTACGCAGTATTACATACAGGATTTGATTTTTTTATTATATACATATCTCATCTCCCCTCTCCCTGCTCCAAGGAAGTCAAGATGGAGGCATACAGGGCTCTCTGCATCTGCATATTATAAAAAAAACCTGCGAAGTAGGTTCCTGAGAGCTGGTGAGGGCCGCAAGCGAGCTTCATGGCTGAATGGGGATTTCAACCCGTCTTCCAGGGCCTAGTCTGACCTTCCTCTGATTTGAGGGGAGAATATAGCCCCTGATAGTAGGGACGCGGGTGGCGCTGTGGTCTAAACTACTGAGCCTCTTGGGCTTGCTGATTGGAAGGTTGGCAGTTTGAATCCCCATGATGGGGTGAGCTGCTGTTGCTCTGTCCCAGCTCCTGCCAACCTAGCAGTTCGAAAGCATGCCAGTGCAAGTAGATAAATAGGTACCGCTGTGGCGGGAAGGTAAACAGAGTTTCCGTGTGCCCTGGTTTCTGTCACGGTATCCCATTGCAGCAGAAGCGGTTTAGTCCTGCTGGCCGTGGAATGCTGTCTTCGGACAAACACCGGCTCCCTCGGCCTGAAAGCGAGATGAGCGCCGCAACCCCATAGTCGCCTTTTACTGGACTGAACCGTCCAGAGGTCCCTTTACCTTTTAGTCTGACCTTCCAACCAGCACACCACAATGGCTATGAAGTAGCTCAAAGTTTCACGCGCTGCAATATCAGAACTACTACAGGAAAGAGCTCCTCTTTCCTTTGTCAAGAAATGATTGAACTGCTTTAAACATGCTTAAAGGGAAAACTTTCCCTTGCGAGCATTGCCTTTATTTCAAACCCACACTGCCTCCCCTACCTCGTCTTTAGAAAATGCAATAATGTAGGAGAGCTTTTTCCCCCAGCCCATCTCATAGAGGAGGGGTTTGTCACAGACGTTTTCACAAGGGTCACAGTGAAGCCATCTTTGCTGGGATGAGGAATAAACTTCGGTCCACACATGATCTGCAGGAGAGAAAAACCAAAGGAAAGTAACCAACATTGTAAAGGCACCTCCTCCATCTCAGGAAACTGTAAGAAGAGTTTGGATTTGATATCCCGCTTTATCACTACCCGAAGGAGTCTCAAAGCGGCTAACAATCTCCTTTCCCTTCCACCCCCACAACAAACACTCTGTGAGGTGAGTGGGGCTGAGAGACTTCAGAGAAGTGTGACTGGCCCAAGGTCACCCAGCAGCTGCATGTGGAGGAGCAGGGAAGCGAACCCAGTTCACCAGATTACGAGTCCACCGCTCTTAACCACTACACCACACTGGCTCACTACACAGAGAGAAAGAGTTGTAACGATACCTGTTGCATCCCAAATATATCTTGCTTCAAAGCCCACAGCTCTGCAGAAGAGGGTGAAGCAGTTGGACCATTCTCCGCAACGGCCCCGCCTAGTTTCCAGAAGTTTCTCGGGATTGTTGTACCTGTGCACATTTTTTATTTTATAAAAGGGGGGGTTGCTGTCATTGCCACGAATACCTAAAACCATTATCATAAGCTGCCAACATTTTGAAATGCTACATTATTAAAATACGCTAGTTAGATAATTCCCTCCCAAGAACTCCCTCACACAGTGGTCATGGGTCTTGAATTTGTCCCATCCCCCCCACTTCCCTCCCTATCGTTTTTGCATCAAAAATGTAAACCATCATTTTAATTTGTGGAACTACCTAGAGTGCAGTGACGTTGAAGCAATATACAAATGTAATAAATAAAGAGGTAATATATAGGCTTCTTCCATGATCTAGCCCCTATCGTTCTCACGTGCTATATAAGGGATTTGTCAAGAAATAAGTGAAAAAACATACAGTGGAACCTTGGTTCTCGAACTTAATCCGTTCTGGGAGGCCCTTTGACTCCCAAAACCGTTTGAAAAACCAAGGCGCGGCTTCCGATTGGCTGCAAGAGCTTTCTACAATCAATCAGAAGCTGCGTGGGATGTTCGGCTTCTGAAAAATGTTCGAAAACCGGAACACTTCCGGGTTTGTGGCGTTCAGGAGTCAAAGCGTCCCGAGTACCAAGGCATTCCGGAACCAAGTCACGACTGTACTGAGCGTACAGTTTCAAACACAGATCAAATTGTTAACCCACCTACGTCCTATACAAACCTGGGAAACCGGTTGCTGAATTGGCAATGGTTACAGAAGTGATTTTCAACCCTACTCGCATCCCATCTCAGATCGTCTTCGCTAGGCGACAAATTTTCTTTAGATTCTGTCTGGCCCCCACACTTGCTGCACGTAAGGTTATTTACCCACTGGAAAAAATCACATTTAAACCAGTTCAGGAGCTCCAGCAACAGTATGTCCTGTTCATTCAATGCATGTCCTGTAAAAATTAAAATAAAAGCAATTACAACGGCGCATGTGAATATCTAATTCCCATGCCCATGTTTTGACATGCTAAGACAAACCTGACTTAGCACAGTAGCAAAAAGAACCGGGGAAGAGTGAAGGGTTTATTTAGAAGCTCACTGGGAGACACACCGTTTGTGCTAAGCCAACATTTGGCTAGGCATAACATGTGAACCCTAGGGACGCGGGTGGCGCTGTGGGTAAAACCTCAGTGCCTAGGACTTGCCGTTCGTATGGTCGGCGGTTCGAATCCCCGCAGCGGGGTGAGCTCCCGTCTTTCGATCCCAGCTCCTGCCCACCTAGCAGTTCAAAAGCACCCCTAAGTGCAAGTAGATAAATAGGTACCGCTTTATAGCGGGAAGGTAAACGGCGTTTCCGTGTGCTGCGCTGGTGCTGGCTCGCCAGAGCAGCTTCGTCACGCTGGCCACGTGACCCGGAAGTGTCTGCGGACAGCGCTGGCTCCCGGCCTCTTAAGTGAGATGGGCGCACAACCCTAGAGTCGGACACGACTGGCCCATACGGGCAGGGGTACTTTTACCTTTACCTAACCAGGCCAATGACAAAAAGGGAGCTGCTTAAAGAGGATCAAGTCAATGGTGATGGAATCAACATAAAATCAACTCTTTGTTTTCGGTCTACACAGATGCTAAACAGTAATTCTTAGCTGCATATGAGTTTGAGGGATTGTGGCAGTATTTATTTTAGATGTAAAATACAGTGGTACCTTGGGTTACAAACACCTTGGGTTACAGACTCTGCTAACCTGGAAGTAGTACCTCGGATTAAGAACTTTACCTCAGGATGAGAACAGAAACCGCGCGGCGGCGGCAGGAGGCCCCATTAGCTAAAGTGGTACCTCAGGTTAAGAACGGTTTCAGGTTAAGAATGGACCTCCGGAACAAATTACGTACGTAACCAGAGGTACCACTGTAATATTCTTAAAGAAAAACCTCGTCAATGCCCCATACTTGGCAGCTGCTAATTCTGAAATGCTTCCCCTTCTGTCTGTTTTGTACATTGATAGAAATACGCCTACTTGTACACAAATGCTCTAGTTAATATCGTCACGTTTCCAAATCATATCTAACTTATTACCTCTGTCCATTTTCCTTGCTTGGATCAGCTTTTCGTGAGCATTCCTGCTCAGTTCTTGGATCGGGATGCAAGCCAAGGCTTTCTTTTGTAAACTAGGGTTCTCATATACCATTACATGCAGAAAGTTTGATTGAAGGGTCTTCAAGAAGATTGATTCAAATGTCTGAAATGGGGGGTGGAAATAATAATAATAATAATAATAATAATAATAATAATAATAATAATAATAATAATAATAATAATAATTTAATATTTGTACCCCGCCCATCTGGCTGGGTTTCCCCAGCCACTCTGAGCGGCTTCCACAGAAACCAAAAAACACTAAAATATCATACATTAAAAACTTCCCTGAACAGGGCTGCCTTAAGATGTCTTCTGAATGTCAGGTAGTTGTTTATCGTTTTGACATCTGATGGGAGGGCGTTCCACAGGGCGGGCGCCACTACCGAGAAGGCCCTCTGCCTGGTTCCCTGTAGCTTTGCTTCTCGCAATGAGGGAACCGCCAGAAGGCCCTCGGCGCTGGACCTCAGCGTCCGGGCAGAACGATGGGGGTGGAGACGCTCCTTCGGGTATACTGGGCCGAGGCCGTTTAGGGCTTTAAAGGTCAACACCAGCACTTTGAATTGTGCTCGGAAACGTACTGGGAGCCAATGTAGGTCTTTCAAGACTGGTGTTATGTGGTCTTGGCGGCCGCCCCCAGTCACCAGTCTAGCTGCCGCATTCTGGATTAGCTGTAGTTTCCGAGTCACCTTCAAAGGTAGCCCCACGTAGAGCGCATTGCAGTAGTCCAAGCGGGAGATAACTAGTTGCCTCAAACAGATTTTCTAACAAGTTCTGGTCATTTGTTCTTCTAAATGGTCTAAAGAGGAATATTCGCGTGGGAATGAGGAGAACAATCTACTGGCAACTGGAATCTAGAGAAGCACCAAAAGGAGGTAAGTAGAACATGACTTTCCTAACCTCTCCTCTGCTGGCAGCACCCCCAAACACTATTCTTGACATTCAGGGGGTCCCCTGAATAGGATGTGCTGTGTTTTGGGGGGGGGTCTGAGGGGGAGAACTGATAGCCAAAAGCAGTAAAGCAGTTTTTGCCCAATTTTTCGCAATCCACACTCCTCCTACCCCACAGCCCATCCCATTCAGGAGTTCCAACACTTAGGAGAGGCTTTCCTCTGACTTCTGCAAAAGCATAACTTTTTTAAAAAAATGGAGACAAACCAGATAATTGCTTCCTTTAGTCCTGAAATGGGCCTTCTGTTAAGGCAAGAGAAATACCAAGTGATTCTGCTGGGTACAAATGCTAATGTGGTATTTGCCCTCTCCATGATCATGGTCTATATGTGTATGAAGAAGACTGGTGTGGAGAATGAGAGGTTAAAAACAGGAATGGGGAAAGCTTCCACCTGCTGTTGGACTCCCAATTCTCACCAGTCCCAGTCAGGATGGCCCATGGTCATGGAAGAGAGGAACTGCAGACCAACATTGGGTGGGCCTCAGGTTCCCCACCCCTGGATTAAAGGTTGAATGCGCACAAAAGCCGACCCACGTACAGGCAGTGACAAATATTACTGCTCGAAGTGTGGCTTTAATATAGTCCAAGCAGCAGGCCCAGATAATAATAATATAATATGATAATAATTTATTATTTATACCCCGCCCATCTGGCTGGGCTTGCCCAGCCACTCTGGGCGGCTTCCAACCAAATATTAAAATACAGTAATGCATCAAACATTAAAAGCTTCCCTAAACAGGGCTGCCTTCAGATGTCTTCTAAAAGTTTGGTAGTTGTTGTTCTCTTTGACATCTGGTGGGAGGGCGTTCCACAGGGAGGGCACCACTACCGAGAAGGCCCTCTGCCTAGTTCCCTGTAACTTGGCTTCTCGCAGCAAGGGAACTGCCAGCAGGCCCTCGGAAGAGGACCTCAGTGTCCGGGGCTGAACGATGGGTGTGGAGACGCTCCTTCAGATATACTAGACCGAGGCCATTTAGGGCTTTAAAGGTCAGCACCAACACTTTGAATTGTACTCGGAAACATACTGGGAGCCAATGTAGGTCTTTCAAGTCTTTCTGAGCCAAGTGAAACACAGGGACATTTACTGGATTACTGGAACCGTCAATCACGGTCAAATATAAGGCAAACAAGACACAGCCTTCTTGATGTCTGTCCCTTTGGGAAGCACAACTTGATGCCAGTCAGGGCTCTCTGATTAAGAGCCTCTGAGAGTACTCAAGAGTGGGGAATCATCAGAGACCATGCCTGGCCCCTCAATATCTGGAAGTGAATCACCCCATAGTAGGAGTCGGGGCCTCTTTCAGTTGGAAGAGAAAGCAAAACAAAGCAGCTTCATTTGTAACTCCAAACCAGGTATGCTTTGGTTTCAGCGACAGACTTTCTGAATCTAGACTTTACAACATATGGGAAGAATCACGAAATGCCCCATGTTCTCCGGCCTGAGTGTGACTTTATTTCATTACATATTAAATCAAAACTTGTTGTATTTCTCTCTCTCTTTTCCCTCCCGGTGAAACTTAATAGAACTCAGCGACCCTTGTCTTAGTTTTCTTCCATGTGAGGTCGGAAAGCTGGAGACTCCCCATTTATCTAGAGTAGATATGGGTAACTTTTGGCCCACCAGATGCTGCTGAACGACAGTTCTCGTGAGCCCCAGCGAGTATGGCCAGGAATGATGGGAATTGTAGTTCTGTGACATCCAGCGTGCCAAAGGTTCCTCACACCTGATCGAGAGATAAGTAGCATCTGTGTATGTACACTCAGCAACACGCACCAAGGTACAATCATGCAACAAAATGATCTGTGCATGCAGGCTTCATGCTTTCTCCCACAAGGAAATTATTTCAGTGTGTGTCTACATCAGGAGTGAAGAACCTCTGGGCTACAGGCCAAATTAAGGGGTCACAATTTGGCTCACAAGGTGGTTTCCCCCCCAATCTCAATGTCCGACGCAATATATAACTATCAGCATTTCACAGATGGAGAGGCGAAAACTGTTCCCAAGAAGAAGAAGAAGAAGAAGAAGAAGAAGAAGAAGAAGAAGAAGAAGAAGAAGAAGGAGAAGAAGAAGAGTTTGGATTTGATATCCGGCTTTATCACTACCCAAAGGAGTCTCAAAGCGGCTAACATTCTCTTTCCTTTCCCTTCCTCCCCCACAACAAACACTCTGTGAGGTGAGTGGGGCTGAGAGACTTCAGAGAAGTGTGACTGGCCCAAGGTCACCCAGCCAGCTGCATGTGGAGGAGCGGAGACACGAACCCAGTTCACCAGACTGCTCTTAACCACTACACCACACTGGCTCCCAAGAGTTGCTACATGAATTAAAGAACTCAGCTCGAGGGTGAAACTTGAATTTACACATACTATTTCCTTGTTCAACATAACAGAGTTCGGAAGTGGTTACCATGACAGCAGGCTGAGCAGTTGAGTCCTGATTGGAATCAAGAGTTCTTGACGGCCGGTGTGCAACAGGCTGCATGTCTGTTACTCTTCTAGAGGATCCTGACATTTCGGTTGTATTCAATCCATTCAATCAGCTATTTCTCTCCCCAGCAACTAGGTCTCGGATTTTGCGCAACTGCTCAATCGATGTGTCGTCCTTAGGAAAAACGAGACGGGTTTCCCCCCTGAAATGGTAGTTACAAAAGTCAAGTCTTCTGTATTGAGATGCAAAAAAACAAACAAAACAAAACAAAACCCAGCACTAGCACCTCCACTTGGCTTTGCCCCTGGACTGAATTATTTACAGCACAATCCTAGGCATATCTACTCATACAAGTTCCACGGACTTTAGTGGGGATTACTCCTAGGGTGAAGGATATGGGATTGCAGTCCTTGGTGCTTTATCATCCTTGAAGAAACAACCCATGGCCCTGTTTGAGTGTTAGTGGCCACATGGTTCAGATATACCGTATTTTTCGCCCTATAGGACGCACTTTTTCCCCTCCAAAAATGAAGGGGAAATGTGTGTGCGTCCTATGGGGCGAATGCAGGCTTTCGCTGAAGCCTGGAGAGCGAGAGGGGTCGGTGCGCACCGACCCCTCTCCCTCTCCAGGCTTCGCGGACCTCTCCGCAAGCAGCGGGAGCCAGCGCTGGGCTCCCACGGCTTGCAGAGAGCTGCCTGTTTGGGGGCTGGGGTCGGGGGAAGCTCGGGCCTCCCCCGCCCCAGCCCCGCGCCTGGGGGGGAAATGTTTTTTTCCATTTCCCCCCCCAAAAACTAGATGCGCCTTATGGGACGGTGCGTCCTATAGGGCGAAAAATACGGTACGTAACTTTCAAGTTATGAACTTGTATTCTTCCAGGTTTTGCCATGCGCGCATGCGCAGAAGTGCTTTGCATGCCGCGCGCATGCGCAGAAGCACTCTATCATGCCGTGTGTGTGCACAGAAGCGGCGCCTCTGGTTATGGATTTTTTGGGGTGTGCGCGGACCCCCGGAATGAATTAAATCCGTAACCAGGGTGTACACTGTAATATCCTGCTCTGGCCCTGCTCCCACACTGTTCATACATCAGGGTAAAGTCTGAAGGGGGAAAGAGTGCCAAATGTGTAATGATCATGATAATATTAATAATAATACCACCTCACCCATCGGGCTGGGTTGCTGCCACTCAGGGCAGCTTCCAACACATACAAAAACGTAACAAAACATCAAATGTCTTCTAAAAGTTGCTAACGGTAGTTTTTTGTTTCCTTGACATCTGATGGGAGGGCATTCCACAGAGCCGGCGCCGCTGTCGAAAAGGCCCTCTGCCTGGTTCCCTGTAATCTCATTTCTCTCAGTAAGGGACCCGTCAGAAGGATTCAAAACAACTGGAGGGTACCAGGTTGGGAAAGGCGGTTTTATATGAAAATGTCCCATCTGAAGATACTCACCTCTTCAAACCCCATTTCAAAAGGACATTCAACAGCTCCTCTGACAGGCAACAATCTAGTGAAAAAGCCTTGGTTTTCAATCCAAATAGACCGATATTTTTCTTCATTTGGGTGTCTGATAGATTTAAAAGAAAAATGTAAGGATTGCTTTCAAGTTACTTACAAAACAGTGTTTTAATCCGATTAAGCAACCTAGAACACTGCTCTCGCATTTCAGTTATGGTTTCCTGCAGCACACTGGTCTTATCCCAAAAGGACTTTTTGGTGTCTACAGTGTTGTCAGGCAGATTCACAATTCGCATGTGCTACCATCAATTGTTTATGTAGCAAATTAAGTTTCAGAAGAATGGTTATGTAAGCTTTCAGAATATTTAGAATTAGCCAAACTGACAGATATAATAAGACAAAAACAAAAAAGTGAAGTGAAAAAGGAATGGGAGTGCCTAAGCAAATACCTTAAAAGCCAAGGTTCGAGGACAGAAATCTGGCTGAGTCTGGAATAACCTTGTGAAGTGAAAGGATAAGAAAGAGGGATTTATATCTAGATGCTAGGACTGAGAAGATAAGCAAAACAGGACGATACATTGAGAGGTAAAGGAGGTGCTGTGGGATTGGTAGAAGTTAATGTTTTCCTTTTTAGTTTTTATATTATTAATTTGTAAGATTTGGATTTGTTTTTCATATGCTTGTTTTTGTGTACTGTTATTTTTCATTTTGTTGCTGTGTGGAAAATACTAATAAAATTTACTATTATTTTTTTTAAAGAAAAGTTTCAAAAGGTCTTTTCAGGTCTTTTATTGCTTATGCTCTCAGTAACTCTGCACGGCAAGCCACTGTTACGATTTTGCACAATGGAAACGGAGGGTCAAAGCCTGAAAACCTGAGGTCCTGCTGACAATCAATGTAGGCCATACCGAGCCAGAGGAACCAATGGTCTGACTTAGAGTCATAGAATTGTAGAGTTGGAAGGGATCCTGATGATCTAGTCCAGGCACAGGCAAACTCATCCCTCCAGATGTTTTCGGACTACAACTCCCATCATCCCTAGCTAACAGAACCAGCGGTCAGGGGTGATGGGAATTGTAGTCTCAAAACATCGGGAGGGCCGAGTTTGCCTATGCCTGATCTAGTCCAAGCCCCTGCAATGCAGCTATCCCATATGGGGATCAAACCTGCAACCTTGGCATTATCAGCACCGTGCTCTAACCTAGGGGTGTCATCTACAGTGGTACCACAGTTTAAGAACAGTCTGTTTTAAGAACGATTTGGTTTACAAACTCTGCAAAACTGGAAATAGTGTCCTGGTTTGAGAACTTTACCTCGGTCTAAGAATGGAAGGGCAGGAGGCCTCATTAGGGAAAGCACGCCTTGGTTTAAGAACGGTTTCGGTTTAAGAACGGACTGCCGGAATGGCTTAAGTCCGTAAACCGAGATACCACTGTACATTGCTCCTGGCTACTGTATTCTGGGTATGTTCAGGAAATTCCAGGTACAGTGGTAGCTCGGGTTACATACGCTTCAGGTTACATACGCTTCAGGTTACAGACTCCGCTAACCCAGAAATAGTACCCTGGGTTAAGAACTTTGCTTCAGGATGAGAACAGAAATCGTGCTCCGGCAGCGTGGCGGCAGCAGGAGGCCCCATTAGCTGAAGTGCTGCTTCAGGTTAAGAACAGTTTCAGGTTAAGAACGGACCTCTGGAGCGAATTAAGTACTTAACCCAAGGTACCACTGTACTTGGAATTTCCTGAACACACCCAGAATACAGTAGCCAGGAGCAATGTCCAGGCAGAAATCGTCAAAATGTCGCGGAAAATCTGGACGTACGGCAACCTATGTCAGCAGTGTCGTTTCTGCAGATTTCCCTCAAAAGCAGCTCTACAACTGTGGCAAAAAGAGAGAGAGCAGCTCAACAACTTGTGTCCAGGCTGGTACAAGGTTTCTATGTTCCTATGGTTAGAACATGAACCAATGTCACTTCGAGTCTCAGGCTGAAACTCAGGTGTGACACACACCTGTGTGTATTCATGCTATCATTATCATAATCACCACCATTATTATCATCACTGCCACCACTGTTTTTAAAGCAGCTTCAGGAAGCTACAATCTTGAGTGGAGGACTAGTACTGCTGCTAAAACTCTCTCACTCAAAATTCGCTTTTCCCCCAGCTGCTTTTTTCCCCACAGCACAAGAAAAGACCAAAAAAGACCGAGAAAGACCTTCTTGGGATAGAAATTCAAGAAACGAATTATAAATATATATTTTCTCCAGGGGAGGAAGTAGATAAGGAAAGCGATCTTAAGCGAGGAAACAGCTGGAGGAAAAAACACTGAGTGGCACTCCTCAGTTCCCCGTTATACTTTCCAGTTTTTCATTCAACCTTGCAACCTTGCAAAGACTGCTTTTAGAAAAGCATCAGAGATAGATGCCTAGGACCGAGTCCCATGAAGCTGAGAGAAGTCATGTCGTGGACTCAACTACGTGGCCTTAAAATCCCTTCCAGTCTCTATTTTCCACCAGCAAAAGATGAATAATGGGGGGGGGGTGTCCTATGTGATGGTGATGGTCACCAACTTTAACAGCTGTAAAAGAGGATTAGACTAATTCAGGGAAGAGGCTACCAATAGCTAAAAGCATGATAGCTCTATACTGCTTCCAGGATCAGAGATTATTAGGTTAAACCACAGAGCCTAGGATTTGCTGATCAGAAGGTCGGCAGTTCGAATCCCCGCGATGGGGTGAGCTCCCGTTGCTCGGCCCCAGCTCCTGCCAACCTAGCAGTTCAAAAGCACGTCAAAGTGCAAGTAGATAAATAGGTACCGCTCCGGCGGGAAGGTAAATGGCGTTTCCGTGCGCTGCTCTGGTTCTCCAGAAGCGGCTTAGTCATGCTGGCCACATGACCCGGAAGCTGTACACCGGCTCCCTCGGCCAGTAAAGCGAGATGAGCGCCACAGCCCCAGAGTCGGCCACGACTGGACCTAATGGTCAGGGGTCCCTTTACCTTTAAACCAGTTACTTTGGAGCAACAGGAGAGGGCAATTTGGTGGCTGCTGTCCTGATTGTAGGCATCCCATAGGCATTGGAATGGCCACTATGGGAAAAACAGGATTTGGAACTAAGCAGAGCTTTGTTCTTGCCTCATGTTCTTAATACAAGATTCTTCCTCATCTGTGTACAGCTGGAAGTCGATTTATCCTCACAGATGTCGATTCTATCACCCACAGCCCAATCCTAAGTATAGTTATAATGATCTCAGTGGAACTTATTTCCAAGTAAAAGCACACTTGGAGTTGAATGTTTTCAGCTTACGAAGCTGTAGTTGCTCTCTTAAATGCACATTAAACATTGAAGCCTTAACAACATTTTCTCAGATGTTCCATAACCATGCTTAAGATTTCATCCATGGAGTCCAATCTTATGTATATGGAAAAGCAAACAGAGATAAAACCTGGCTGTTCTCCACACCATGGTAACTCACCCCGCCCCCCCCCCCCTCGATTACCACAACATAGTGTTCTGGGTTTGTCTCTGAAGATTTCTCGGAAACTTCAGTCTATTCAAAATACAGCTGCCAAGATGCTAACTAGGACCAGCTGTAGGGTATATAGCTAGTCACTATATTGGCTTTTGAATTATGGTGCTGGAGGAGACTCTTGAGAGTCCCATGGACTGTAAGAAGATCAAACCTCTCCGTTCTTAAGGAAATCAGCCCTGAGTGCTCACTGGAAGGACAGATCCTGAAGCTGAGGCTCCAATACTTTGGCCACCTCATGAGAAGAGAAGACTCCCTGGAAAAGACCCTGATGTTGGGAAAGATGGAGGGCACAAGGAGAAGGGGACGACAGAGGACGAGATGGTTGGATAGTGTTCTTGAAGCTACCAGCATGAGTTTGACTAAACTGCGGGAGGCAGTGGAAGACAGGAGTGCCTGGCGTGCTCTGGTCCATGGGGTCATGAAGAGTCGGACACGACTAAATGACTAAACATCAACAACATACTGGCTGGTGAGCCATTTCTGGATGCGATTCAAAGTTCTTGTGTTTAGTTAAAAGTAAAAAGTTGCTTGGGACTGCCTTCTCCCAGATGCTCTTGCCCAAAGGATGCTGTCATCCTTAGAGACCTTCTTCTGCATCTCTATACTTCCCATATTAAGAAAATGCTCTCAGTTAGATATATGTGAAATGCCCTCTTTAGGGATGCATCCCTAGTGTGCCAGGGTTCGAAATTAGCAGGGTGCCAGGCACATTTTTCACCTAAAGATTCTTCATCTGCGAGCACCTCAAAAAGTCTGGAAGCCATTTTTTGCACCTGGCTGACACTCAAGGATTACTGAAATGCATGTGCTTTGAAGCTTCGAAGTATATGTTAAGGATAGACAATATGTTAAGGAGTTTAACAATAAAGAGTAGAGTGTTTAGAAAACTGGAGTGTGGCACTAATATTTTTTATTGTAAACACCAAATTAAATATGTATTAACCATTTCTGCTAAAAATATGATATTAACAATGTGTCAGTTATGTGAATTGAATATTAATTCATGCTTATCAAAATAATAAATAAAAAGTGTTGCTGACACACCCACACTCCGTGGCAACTAGACATTCTGTTTTGGCACCCACTACCCAAGTCCCATGGGACGTGGGTGGCACTGTGGGTTTACCCACAGAGCCTAGGGCTTGCCGATCAGAAGGTTGGCGGTTCGAATCCCCACGACGGGGTGAGCTGCCGTTGCTCAGTCCCTGCTCCTGCCAACCTAGCAGTTCGAAAGCACGTCAAAGTGCAAGTAGATAAATAGGTACTGCTCCGGGGGGAAGGTAAACGGCATTTCCGTGCGCTGCTCTGGTTCGCCAGAAGCAGCTAAGTCATGGCTGGCCACATGACCCGGAAGCTGTACGCCGGCTCCCTCGGCCAATAAAGCGAGATGAGCGCTGCAACCCAAGTCGGCCACGACTGGACCTAATGGTCAGGGGTCCCTTTACCTTTACCTTACCCAAGTCCCAGAAGCCATTTGGCTCCTAGCTTTTCTCTCCCAGTTTCTAACACTGCTTACTGCCAAATGTTATCTTCTGTCAGCATCAAGCAAAGCCTCTCTCTTTATTTTTGGTGCCTAGAACAGCCTTTAACAACCTGGTGCCCTCCAGATGTTTTGGACTACAACTCCCATCAGCCCAAGCCAGTTAGCCTAGATCTCCCAGCACATAATCTAAACTGATCAACATGCATGGGTTTTATTGATCTGTATTGATTTTTCCAACTAGCAGGAAAGGATTCTTACTTCTGTGAATCCTCACTTCTAAGGACAGACCCCATGTGATTGTTCTCTCTTCCTCTTTGAAGTGTCTGTCCCTGGGCTCAGAAAAAAAATGACAACCAGTTGCTGAACCAGCTGTCATTGCCACATAAAGAGGCTTGAAGAGCTATTTTCCCAGCTTAGGGAAGTTTTGGGCATCAAACTGGTAACAGCAATCTGTTGTATTAAATGCAGCAACCCCACTGCCCTTTCATTATACAAGTCTTTAATCTTTCTTCACAGAAATCTAACTGAAATATATGGAATTGACAGCACAATCCTGTATATGTCTGCTCAGAAGCTGGTAAACGTAAGAAGAAAAAATTGATATAGGTTGTACAAAAGGAGCATCACTAGCTATCACACATGTCTTTAATGCCAAAACCTTTCCCATTCAGACACATAAGAACCTTATTTAGTAACCTTATTTACAATACCCTTGTAAAATTAACATTTTATTAACCCTTCCTAACCAGAACCCATTTTTACTATTAAAAAATCCTGAAACACCATGTTATAAGGCATCCAAAATAATCAGATCTGCACACCAGATTGAACTAGAATTAGTCTGATGTAGCAACCCCGGAAGTCTAAAAACACTTCCTATTCCAGTGATTGCTTAGGCAAAAGTTTACAGAAGGAATCCTAATAAACAGGAACTAAATAGGAGTGGTGCAGTAAGACACAGCCTTAAAAAAGTAGCTACATTTCTCGCATTAAGTTCCAATTTCATTTTATTCTGTAGGGTGTGCCGGTCTGATTCTTTAGAATACCTCAGAACCAGATATCCTGGGATCTTTGAAAACTCATTTTAACTACGGTACTTAGAAGGTAGATTCAGTGTGTAGATCAACATGATTCCCATTTGGTCCTGTGAGGGCATTTCAATTATGCAGTTTGATATGCAGCTACTCAATTAAATTTCTGGGCAGTGTTTTCAAACAGCTGTCAATTGTAAAACAAGCACTCTTCAAAGGCTGAATTTCTCTTGGTGTGAATTTAGTTACAGTATTTAGCATTTTTCAAAAGCAGTGGTTTTCCCCTCCTCCCCTCCCTTCCCCCAGTCGTAAATAATTACCTGCTCCATTACTTTAAAAGGTGGATTCTTAAGATTTCTGGAGGATTTCCACATCATTCCATTCTATACCTTATATAAACGTTCTGGTTTGGGATACCTTGGTAGTGTTCCAGATTGTTTCCTCGGTCTTCTTTAACACACCCCAGTATTTTGATTTATTTTATTTTTTGCCTGTTTCTAAAACTTTATTTCTAAAATGGCTGCTCTGGGCCTTTCTGTTGCCTCTCCTGGTATGCCCCGCGGAGGACCTTAAGGTCCACAAATGACAACACTTTGGAGGTCCCAAGTCGCAAGGTGGTTGGATCGGTCTCAACTAGGGCCAGGGCCTTTTCAGTACTGGCCCTGACTTGGTGGAACGTTCTGTCATAAGAGACTAGGGCCCTGTGGGACTTGACATCTTTCTGCAGGGCCTGCAAGACAGAGCTGTTCTGCCTGGCCTTTGGTTTGGACTCAGTCTGACCCTTATGGTTTTGATCTATGGGCTACTTTTAAAACGAGGCTGCATTTTAACCTGTATTTTAAATTGCCCCCCCCCCCAATTATGTTTTTACTGTAATTTTACTGGTGTTAGCTGCCCTGAGCCCGACTCTGGCTGAGGAGGGCAGGGAATAAATAATTTATTATGATTATGATTATTATTAATTCTGACATCTGTACCCGGAGATCTTAACTCTCTGGCCTGAAAGAACCATAACAAATTCAGTGGAGAAGGAAATGCACTCTGCATATCCACAGAGGTTTTCTAATTTATTATCACTCCCGGGGTCTCTAATCTGCATGTGGAAACACAATCTACATGTGGAAACTCTAATCTGCCTGCCAACACAAACAGGTTCTTCAAAATTAAGATCTACCAGGAATGCAGATGGGAAGGCTTCCTATCACAGTAGGCCAGAAGCATGTGTCTCATAGTTCAATAGGAGCACTGAGATGCAGTTTCATATACCCTGATGCAACGAATGGGCACAATGGTAAGGCCACACAGCAGAAGCAATTGCAAGACAGGGGGCTTCACGACTGCTATTTTTAAGCAACTGGCCCCACAGGAGGGAGAGATCTGGTTGCAGCCGACCCAACGCAACATGGCCAAACCGATACTCTGAGTAAACAGGGCAACGTCAAGGCAATCACTGCCTTGCCCGCCCGCGGCACTACACAAAGCTCTTCCATCCATGGTCCAAAAGCTTTTATTTACCAAGACGCGCCGTCGTGTCCCGGCGGCCTCCGCGAGGAGACGACACAGGCGCAAACCGTCTCACCACCCTCAGCACTGTTGTTTGCCGGGCCCGTCCGCACCCCCTCACCTGATGCTATTTATCCGCATAGGTAAGCAGCAAACGGGAGGGCTCTAAAAACATCTCTGTGGGATTCAGGGACGAGCGCGCCGCTGCGGAGGGTCCCAGGGCGGCCGCCATCCTCCCACAGCGGCACTTGACCACCCCGGGTGTTCTTGCCAGCGAGCAAGGAACTTGGACTTTGCTGTGCGCCCGCCCGCACTCAATTCGGGATAAAGCTGCCTCAAGCGGCGGCGGCGACTCCAGAAAGTGAGGCGAGCGGGCGGAATCCTCCCTCCCCTTTCAGAAACTTCCTGTGAACGCAGCGACGTTTTCGCTCCGCCCCGCGCGTTGGTTTATTTATTTATTTTTAGGGTTGTCGAGCATGCGCAGTAGCGAGAATGACGCCACTGCCATCACATTCGAAACTCTAGTCTAGACCTTTATAAAGCTCAAGAACCAGCTTCTTTCTGGTTGTTATTTTCACCTGAAATGCGAGTGGCCAGACTGTTAGGCACTCCCTTTGGGTTAGAAAGAAATCAGGCTCCCTATAACACTAGGGATTTCCCAGGTTCTGCATTTGCCAGGTTGATTTGTTGAAGGATATATTGATCTGGTTTATGCTGTGATCTCATGGTTATGTTTTTGCAAAATAACATGTTTAGTATTTTAGCCCCGCCCCCTAAAATGTGACCCATTTATTTGGGTCAGTCATGTCAGGTTTTGTCATTTGTGTGTGCCCAAGTGAGTTTCATGACTGAGCAGAGATCTGAACCCTCGTCTCCCAGGTCCTAGTCTGACCACTACACCACACTGGGTCCTTGTCAGAGAAAAGACAGGAAGGGAAACAAGTATATGAACTAATTTGTCCAAGCTTTAGAATACTCTACAGTGCAAACTGAGTTGCTGATGATATAGTTAGTTATTGTACCAATTATTTTGATTATTTGTCTCATCTGCCAACTATATCATAGCGATGTCTCCTAGCAAACTGTGACCTAATAAGTTATTGTAAGCAATTTCACTTCAAGCCCTGCAAAGGCTGTATATTGGGACTGAAATATACAGCCTTTGCAGGGTTCCAACTGAAATTGCTTTACCTCTTAATTGATTCCCATCTTCACAAGAGAGCTGAGCAAGGTCGAGTTCCAATTTCAGAGAGTTTCTTGAGCAGGTAGCATAAGAGCAGATGGGCCTTTCTAAAAAATATTGACTTCGAAGCTGCCATGTACATTTTAATTCTTGTGTATTGACCCGGTCATTATTTCGGCATGTAGCCCAAAGGAAATTTCAGCATTGTTCTGTGTTAGAATAATTCGGAAGTACAGTGGTACCTCAGGTTACATACGCTTCAGGTTACATACGCTTCAGGTTACAGACTCCGCTAACCCAGAAATAGTGCTTCAGGTTAAGAACTCTGCTTCAGGATGAGAACAGAAATTGTGCTCTGGCGGTGCGGCACCAGCAGGAGGCCCCATTAGCTAAAGTGGTGCTTCAGGTTAAGAACAGTTTCAGGTTAAGAACGGACCTCCGGAACGAATTAAGTACTTAACCCGAGGTACCACTGTATGGGCACCAGACCTTAAAAAGTCCCATATCCCTGGTATCCAAGGCTTTTTTTAGCCATAACTCACCAGAACTCAGTTCCAGCACCACTCCATTGGGTGCCATTACTATTAAAAGAGAACAAGGGAGGCATTCATGGTGAGTTCCGGCACCTCTTTTTCTTGAAAAATAGCAGTGCTCGTATCAAACTGCAACCAAAAAATTCTTTAAATGAAAAACAGGCATGGATTAGAAAGAACATCTTTGTTTCTTTTAAATGTAGTGCACCCACAGTTTTTCCCCACAACTATTCCATAAAAGTTAAGAATAATAGAGTTGCCTTTTTGTCCTACAGGAATTCATTTCTGAAAACTGCCGCCATGCTTCTCCACTTCTCAAGAGATGTCTTAAAAACGGCATGCCGCAATCTTCAAGGTTCCCAAGTACATCGGTGTTTGAGAATCGTGAGAAAGGCTTTGAGCACGGGCGCAACTCCTCGCAGCCGAAGGAGAGTGGTTGTCACAGGCATTGGGTTGGTGTCGCCCCTGGGCGTCGGAACGCAACTTGTGTGGAACAACCTTCTCCAAGGAAATTGTGGGATCGTTGCTCTTGAAGGGGAGGAATATTCGGCCGTCCCTTGTAAAATAGCCGCCTGTGTGCCGAAGGGAGTTAGCGAGGGCCAGTTTCACAGAGAAAGCTTTGTGTCGAAATCAGAGAGCAAGGCCATGTCATCTGCCACCATCATGGCCATAGCTGCTGCCGACTTAGCAATAAAAGACTCTGGGTGGCATCCACAATCTGAACTGGACCATTTGAATGCTGGTGTGGCAATAGGGATGGGAATGGTTCCGCTGGAAGACATTTCTGACACGGCCTCCATGTTCACAACAAAGGGTTACAACAAAGTCAGCCCGTTCTTTGTTCCAAAGATCTTGGTCAATATGGCGGCAGGTCATATTAGCATCAGATACCAGCTGAAGGGACCCAACCATGCCGTATCCACGGCCTGTACCACAGGAACACATGCTGTCGGAGACGCCTTTCGATTTGTAGCCTACGGTGATGCTGATGTGATGCTGGCTGGGGGGACAGAGGCTTGCATTAGCCCCTTGTCTCTAGCCGGGTTTGCCAGAGCTCGGGCTCTGGCCACTAGCTTTAACTCAAGCCCCCAGCTGGCTTGCCGGCCATTCCACTCGCTGAGGGAGGGATTTGTCATGGGAGAAGGTGCCGCCATTTTGGTTTTGGAAGAATATGAGCACGCTGCACGGAGAGGAGCTAAACTGTATGCGGAAATTTTGGGCTACGGACTCTCAGGTGATGCTTGCCACATAACAGCCCCTAATCCAAATGGGGATGGTGCCCTCAGGTAAAAACCACGAACATTTAAATAATTGTAAAGTTGTTTTCTATATTGGGAATCAATCCATGCATTAGAAATTCCCTAATGTTTAATACTTATTTTTGAACTTCCCAGCCCAGTCTGGAAGCTGTCATATACTGAGTCAGACTGGCTTATCAAGCTCCACATTCACCGGTATTGACTGCTGTCCAGGGTTTCAGGCAGCAGTCTCTCCTAGCCCTACATTGAAATGTTGGAAATTGAACATAGGACCGTTTGTACACAAAGCTTGTGCTCTAGCACTCAGCCATGGCTCTGCAGTGCACTCTGAATTCTGTGACATGTTAACAACAACAACAATTCATTATTTATACCCCACCCATCTGGCTGAGTTTCTCCAGCCACTCTGGGCGGCTCCCAACAGAAAATTAAAAATACAATAAAGGATCAAAGATTTAAAACTTCCCTGTACAGGGCTGCCTTCAGATGTCTCCTAAAAGTCAGATAGTTGTTTATTTCCTCGGCATCTGATGGGAGGGCGTTCCACAAGGCGGGCGCCACTACCGAGAAGGCCCTCTGCCTGGTTCCTTGTAACCTCAATTCTCGCAGTGAAGGCCTCAGTGTCTGGGCAGAACGATGGTGATGGAGACGCTCCTTGAGGTATCCTGGGTTGAGGCCCTTTGGGCTTTTGAATTGTGCTCGGAAACGTACTGGGAGCCAATGTAGGTCTTTCAGGACCAGTGTTATATGGTCTTGGCAGCCACTCCCAATCACCAGTCTACCTACCGCATTCTGCATTAGTTGTAGTTTCTGAGTCACCTTCAAAGGTAGCCCCACGTAGAGCGCGTTGCAGTAGTCCAAGCAGGTGATAACTGTGCCATCAGATGTCTTCTAAAAGTCAGATAGTTATTTCCTTGACACCTGGTGGGAGGGTGTTCCACAGGGTGGGCGCCACTACTGAGAAGGCCCTCTGCCTGATTCCCTGTAACCTCACTTCTCGCAGTGAGGGAACCACCAGTTATGGGGAAACCGTGATATTTTGTCTGTCAGACATATTATTACTTGTTTGGGACCCTCAATTTATTTTTGGGCGCTCCTCTGCCCCACCTGCAAAAGAGTGTACAAAGTTTTATGTGGCATAAAGTGTATGCAAATTTTATGCAAATTTCTGTCTTCTCTTTTGAGTGCAGCAAGGGCCTCAATCTATATACAATATAGCAGACACAGAAAATCTTGTTGGCACACCTGGCCCAAACCATGATCTCTCATTCAGTCCTGCCTTGAAGGCAATTTTGAGAATTGTGAAGCACTTTGTATCTGTTCAGTAGTCTTCTAGAAATGATTCATAATATTGCAGAAGTAAAATCAATCTCTCTTACCCATTTTGAATGGCAAAGAACATAGGACAATGTTTACCTACATTAATTAGATATGCTTGTTCAGTTTCAAAGAGACATGGCTGCTACTAGTGTTTGTGGAAATATTATTTCCTTTTAAAGATGGCAAGTAACACAGCAGAACATTCAAGATAATTAATGCCTTCGGCTCATTAGGACTGAATTTTCCACTTCGGCATTAGCTTGGCCATAGGTTCTATGGAATATTTCAATTAACATGACCTAACATGCAAGACAAATGCATTTAGCCCTGCCTTAAGGATGTATACTAAGGAATTGATTCTTACTCATTTTCATCCGCTGAGGCTGCATGTTGTATACAGAATGGTGATCTTGTGAAGTTGCACGATGGATGAATGCATGGTGCTAGTATTGTAGTTTTAGGGTTTAATCGCTTTCGTGCACAGTGGCTGCATTCACGTGCAACACTAAACCGTGGTTTGGCGGCACATGGGTGAGCCTCCATGAATCTGAGCAGAGGGCTGAGGTCGTGCACTCCTCCTCCTGCGCAGTTGGGAGGAGGGCTTGCACCAAGTTTACTTTACTTTCAAAGAATCTTGCCTGAGTATTATGTGTGAACTGATTAAATCTGTGAGCCACCTTCCTTGCCCCACCCTCCAGCCCTGGGAGCCTTTCCCAGACAATGACTTTGAGGACAGCAGAAGCAGCTTGGAGGAGAGGAGTTCAGGGAGAGGCTTTTTTTGTTTTTAAAAAATAATTTTAGGTTGTGTGTCCTTGTTTCTTAATTTAATCCTTTTGCATTGTTTTGTATGATTTGTGGTGTTTTATGTACAGTGGTACCTCGGGTTATATACGCTTCAGGTTACAGACGCTTCAGGTTACAGACTCCGCTAACCCAGAAATAGTACCTCGGGTTAAGAACTTTGCTTCAGGATGAGAACAGAATCGCGTGGTGGCAGCACAGCGGCAGCGGGAGGCCCCATTAGCTAAAGTGGTGCTTCAGGTTAAGAACAGTTTCAGGTTAAGATCGGACCTCCGAAACGAATTAAGTACTTAACCTGAGGTACCACTGTATTGTGATTTGCTGCTATTTTTATCGATTATGGATGAGTAATTCTTTATTGTAATTTATAAGTGTAAACTGTTTACTTGCTGATGTTTAATTTTAGTGTGTACTATTGGATTATAATGTATTATTGCATACTGCTTTATTTGGTATAAGTTGTTTATTTTAAAGGTATTGTGACTTTTTAAATAGGATCTGATTGTTACTATTAATGTTTGATATTTTATTATTATTTTGGTGTGTGTTGGAAGCTGCCCAGAGTGGCTGGGGCAACCCAGCCAGATGGGCGAGGTATAAATTAAGTTAATAATAATAATAATAATAATAATAATAATAATAGTTAGACAGTGGCTTATTTAGAAACAGACCAGTTTGCTGTAAACTGGGATCCCTGGTTCATAGGTAAGGTTTTTTGAAAGCAAAGCTAAACTTGACAGAAATGCTACTTCCAGCCACACTGGAAGAAGAGAGAAGGCAAAAAAATGTTTGAACTCGATGCTTGGTTAGGTTTGTGGAGACCCTTATGCGTGCTGCTAAACCATGGCTTAGTATTCCATCAGGCTATGAACTTAAGTATGAACTTAAGTGTCAGGGAACTGACATCAGAGCGAGAGGCGAAGGGGAGGCTCCCAGACGATGCTGGCGAAGGACCCAGCAGCAGGGGGAGAAGCAGCTCAGTAGAGGGGGAAGGAAATCAGCGCAACACCAGGGATAAAGGGGGGCAGATGGGGGAAGCGGAGAGAGGGCTCCAGGACTCTTCACTGGACATCAGTGAGGAGAGCACAGGTCCTCCGCTACCCACGCCCTCCCTGCGCAGAAGACTCCCGCGCAGTGAGAGGAGGGGGAGACTGGGAGTCAAACAGCTTTTATGCTGGAAGAGGTTTAAGAAACGCCCACTGCTAGCGTCTGAGGCTAGCGTCTGAGGCAGCCACGTTGAGATGGGCTGTGCAGTCAGAACGGTTGAACAAGGCAATTTAGCCTAGAGAGGCGGCAGTTTACACACGAGTAACTCATACCCATTACATTAAGTAACACAAATCTCTTTCTTTTTCATTCTCCTCCCCTAGATGCATGTCAGCAGCAATGAAAGATGCTGGAATTTGCCCTGAAGATGTAACATACATCAACGCTCACGCCACCTCCACTCCACTAGGAGACGCTGCAGAGAATCAGGCTATTAAAGGACTCTTCAAAGAACACGCATATTCTCTTGCAGTTTCCTCAACAAAGGGAGCAACAGGCCATCTTTTGGGTGCTGCAGGAGCTATTGAGGCGGCTTTCACTGCTTTGAGTTGTTACCATGGAATTTTACCACCTACTCTAAATCTAGATCAGACGGAAGCACCGTTTGACCTCAATTATGTTCCGCTAGTACCCCAAGAATGGAGAAGTGAAAAGCGGCGTATTGCTCTCAGTAATTCTTTTGGCTTTGGTGGAACTAATGCAACACTGTGTTTTGCTAATGTTTAGCTTTACTGTCCACGTATGCATTATTTTTTTAAAAAGATGATCTGTTAACGGCCTGAAAAACGTGTAGCAATGCAAACCTCTGGTCTCTCCCCACTCGTCCCCACCCCAATTCATTCCTTTTCTCACTTTTACTCCTTTTAAAGTTTATACTCAAACAAACAGTAATGTGTATTTATAATGTTTAGGCTGAGGGCATTTTCCCATAAATATTTCAGAGTTTTGCTCCATATCTGCAAGCAGAAGGAAATCACAATTCGTAACAGCTTCCTGCCCCAGGAAATGGGGACGTCCGCATTTATCATATGGGAGGAAGAATGGGTTTGTTGCTCAGTTATAGTGCCAAACTATAATTTGGAATTATATTGACCCCAGACTCGCCTTCCCTCCCTTTCTAGGCTGATATTCCCTCTGGAACTTTCTTTGTAGCAAACCATAGCTTGCTGTTCAAAGAGGGCAAGTTACACTTTGCACTCGCCTGCGAACTAGGATCACAAACCAGAACCAAACCCTGGTTTGGGACAAAGCCCAAGGCTTCTTGGGACTTTCTCATATAAATGCCAAGCTATGTTTTGCTGTTATTATTGGTATTTGTTGTTGTTATTATTCAATTTAAAAATACCCAAAGTTTCCTAGGCACTGTACAAACACTCCAAAATAATAAAGCCCTTCTCTGTGGGATTACAGTTTAAGCAGAGGCAACACAAAAGGTTTTTAAAAAAAAATGGGGAAGGAAGTGGAAAGCAGGCAAGAACCTTACACAATTGTCATTATGATGACTGGGGTAAATGGTGACAGCTCTGGGAGGTGGGGGGTCAAAATGGTAACTGGTTTCTCAGCCAAATTAATGGAGTGGGTTGTGCTGTAGCAAGGTGGAATGGCTCCTAATAGATGGCAGCTTAGGGAGATGAGAAGCCAAATGGCAGCAAGACTTTTACAATCTCCTCAGTCTTGAGGAGCTCTTAGTGAGAAGGTATAAGCCTTCTCTTCCAAAGTGACCTAGAAAGCCCACTCATTCCTGGACTTCACTATATGAAGGTGAGTAAAGGAGGAACACAAGACTATTCATGAGCATCGCCCCCCCCCTGAGTTGTCCTCCAGCTCCTTGCACTGGTGTAAAACCTCTTAGTCGCAAACATTGCTTCAAGTTGAGTGGAGTGCTGCCCTGGATGGAAGGATGGTTTCTCCAAAGAGAGAGAGCCAGTGTGGTGGAGTGGTTAAGAGCGGTAGACTCGTAATCTGGTGAACCGGGTTCGTGTCTCCGCTCCTCCACATGCAGCTGCTGGGTGACCTTGGGCCAGTCACACTTCTCTGAAGTCTCTCAGCCTCACTCACCTCACAGAGTGTTTGTTGTGGGGGAGGAAGGGAAAGGAGAATGTGAGCCGCTTTGAGACTCCTTCGGGTAGTGATAAAGCGGGATATCAAATCCAAACTCCTACTCCTCCTCCTCTCCTCCTCCTTCTCCTTCTTCTTCTTCTTCAAACAAGCAAGGGTCCTTTGAACCATTAAAATGTTTTCTTTTGCAAAACATTGAAGCTGGGAGCTCTCCACCATATACTGTCTACATAATTCGGCAGATGATTACACAGTACAGTTCAAAATCCATTCGCCGCTCTCATTTTGACAGCGACAGTAAAAGAATCATAAAGAAATCCTCAATAAATTTCATATTGAAAAACATTACAGTGGAAGCATGTCTCAGTGAAATGGGGGAAAAATATTTGTTTCAACTATTTGGAGTTAGTGCATCTAAAGTGTAGACAATATTTACCCAAAAAGCTGTGTCTTTCATAACATCAAAGAAAAATATGTAGGTCATATGCTTTCTCCCAAAAACCTACCTTCACACTGAAAGCAGACGATTTCTTTTAGGAAGAGTGCTGTTTATGTCCTACTCAAAGTTATGTAAAGAGTTCTTACATTTCTCCATCTTTGTAACCTTATTTGGAGCAGGGATGAACATGCTAGCTCTGGGTCTGCAATCCATGGAGGGCCACTGTGTAAAACGGGGGTTATAAAATGTGCAAGGAGCATTCACAACTAGAGATGCGCCCTCCCTTGAGTTGGGGAGCAATGGGGACCACGAGAGGGGACAGACCTAGCGTGCTGGAGACACATGTCTGCAGAACGCTAAAAGGTAAGGCCTGAATAGGACTTACTTGCAGCTCATATGTAGCTCATTGGAATTTGCTTTCAAGTAATGCATTAATATTTAGAGGTGGAGATGGTGGTCAGATTTGAGGCGAATAGATTGCTGCCAGGAATCCAATTATTAAAATACTCTCTTCTGTTGAATTAGATGCATGAAAGTGTGGGAAGCAAATTCAAAACGCACACCAAGACCGCTATTTCCTGTGCTCTAAGGTGAGTGGCGCTGTGGGTTAAACCAAAGAGCCTAGGACTTGCCGATCAGAAGGTCGGCGGTTCAAATCCCTGCGATGGGGTGAGCTCCCGTTGCTCGGTCCCAGCTCCTGCCAACCTAGCAGTTCGAAAGCACACCAGTGCAAGTAGATAAATGGGAAGGTAAACGGTGTTTCCGTGCGCTGCTCTGGTTCGCCAGAAGTGGGTTAGTCATGCTGGCCACATGACCCGGAAGCTGTACGCCGGTTCCCTCGGCCAATAAAGCAAGATGAGCGCTGCAACCTCAGAGTCAGCCACGACTGGACCTAATGGTCAGGGGTTCCTTTACCCCTCAGGTACCCCTCAGGTGAGTTGAGGTGTGCTTCTCCAGAAGGGAAAGGACAATTGCATGCCACAGGACTCAATGCATAAAGAAAAACTGGAGTGGGAGGAAGATTTGAACATTATTATAGATTTGGGCGTGAGCTTGCCAAAGTCTGCAGGTAGTTCTTCCTGGTTTGGAGAAGTCAATCCCAACTCCCTGGAGGTCTTCCTGGGCAATTTTGTTCTAGGTGCAAGCGTGCATCAGTGTCACCGCTGAGATCTGCCAATGGCAGTAATGCTTAGGGGCTTTTTACAAAGGCTTTAGAACTCCTGGTTCCCTCCCAACCCCACAGTGACTCCACACAAGCCGTCTAGATGGTTGGACCCTAGGCTACTTACAAGATGGAGCTTCTCTTCTTTTGATCTCTTGTGATGCTTTTTCAGACTTATTCCCTGAGGTCCAGCGCCGAGGGCCTTCTGCGAGAAGTGATGTTACAGGGAACCAGGCAGAGGGCCTTCTTGGTAGTGGTGCCCACCCTGTGGAATGCCCTCCCATCAGATATCAAGGAAACAAACAACTATCTGACTTTTAGAAGACATCTGAAGGCAACCCTGAACAGGGAAGTTTTTAATGTTTAATGTTTTATTGTGTTTTTAATATTCTGTTCGGAGCCACCCAGATGGGCATAGCTGTCAACTTTCCCCTTTTCTTGCGAGGAATCCTATTCGGAATAAGGGAATTTCCCTTTAAAAAAGGGAAAAGTTGACAGCTATGCAGATGGGTGGGGTATAAATAATAAATTATTATTACTGTAGTTCCATACTGGGACTTACTTTGTTTGCTATCTGCCTGCTGCATAGCTTTACAGCCATGAGAGCCAACCTTAATCTATGCAAAAAAAATTCTCAAATTCCAAGTGTTGAACATGAGTTATGGATACTGTAGGTCTCTTATCTGCTGATCTTAGGCTGGAAATATTACTTCCAGAGCAAGACCAGGCGTGGTATTCTAGGTGGACGGGATGATTTACTTGAAGGCGTGTCTCCACCCCCCACATTATCCAGCCTGACATTGAGGTCCAGCTCTGAGGGCCTTCACTACAAGAAGTGAAGTTACAGGGAACCAGGCAAAAGGCCTTCTTGGCAGTGGTGCCTGACCCTTGGAAAGCCCTCCCATCAGATGTCAAGGAAACAAACAACTATCTGACTTTTAGGAGACATCTGAAGGCAACCCTGTACAGGGAAGTTTTAATGGTTGATGTTTTATTGTGTTTTTAATATTTTTATTAAATTATTATTATTCCCTCCTGAATGTGACATATGGCCTTTTGGTCTAGTCAACATGATACCCTACAAATGTTGGGACTCCAACATTTGTTATGCAGGGGGTTGGACTCGATGGCCCTTGTGGTCTCTTCCAGCTCTATGATTCTATGATTCCAATTGTCCTCAAACATTAGCCATGCTGGTTGGAACTGTTTGTAGTACAACATCTGGATGTTGGTTACCCCTGGAAAAGGCAAACATTGGGTGCATTCAGAAGAAGAGCTAAGATTATGAAGCCAAATGATTGGTATTTTTCTGAGATGTGACAAGATGAGCAATATTCACCTCCCAGAATTCCTTGAAATGTGGGAGGTGATATTCCAGAAGTCATTGGGTGTGTGTGTTAAAGCTAAGAATTATTTTTGTTGCTACTGGAAATGATGACTAAGGCTAACCCCACTTACCAGGGAGTAAGACCCACTGAATGCAGTAGGAATTGCTTCTGAGTAGACAATGGTTATGACTGGGCTGTAGGTTTCCAACAAATACACAAACACACACACACACACTTCTGAAGGAACTCAGGTATACTGGATTTCAAAAGCAGACACAGCAATAATTGAGTTTTTCTTTAATTTTTATATTAAAGACTGGAATTGATTATGTATGGGATGCCATTACCTTGATTTCTCATCTTCTTTTTTGAGTGGCTTTAATTGCATAACTGAGCAACTAGCATTTCTTTCATGCTGCCTGCATAACAAATGGAATGGATGAGAAAACCATTTCTGTTATAGAAGGATTTAATCTGTTTCAACACTTCAGCTCGTTAAAGAAGTCTAAGGTAAAGACCCAAGAAAGGATGTATATGGATGGGTCTATTAAATCACATACTAACCCACTTGGAACGTGGTGTCGGCTAACCTTTAGGAGCAACTTTGGAAAAGAAGCAGGGACTGCAGTAAGGAGAACACCAAATCTTTACTCCTTGCCAGTTCTGGTTTGCAGTTTCTATCAGCAGCTTTCAAAAGAGCCAGCTTTCTAGACATATGTGCTTTTGGGACCTGCCTGCAATAAAATACTAAGAAAGAGGCGTCAAATTGACAGCTGTTTGCAAAATGATAGGAAGACACAACAAGGAAAAAGTAGCTGAGAATATGCACATTTAATGCACAGTTTATGAGTGTTTTAGAGCTCTATAAAGATAATTTGATGTTAAACAGCTGATCATTCAGAAATTCAGTGCTGTCACAGGCTTTTTTTAATTTTTGAAGTGGAAAATCACTGATCTCAAATTGCCATTCTAGGGGAAAGCTCTAATTGTAAGGGATATTACCTACTATTAATAATTGTAGGCAGGGGAAAGTTTTTGTTCTATTTTGCTTTCTGCTTTTCAGCACTGCAATTCTTTTTGGAACTGTAACCCCATTTGCGTTCCGGTACCGTCATGGGTCCTGTGGAGATGCACAGTGTCCTGATCAAGGGAAGTAATAGTACTACTCTATTCTTCCTTGGTCAGAACACACCTGGAATACTGTGCCCAGTTCTGGGCACCACAATTTAAGAAGGATGTTGACAAGCTGGAATGTGTGCAGAGGAGGCCAACCAAGATGATCAAGGGTCTGGAAACTAAGCCTTATGAGGAACAGTTGAATGAACTTGGTATGTTTAGCCTGGAAAAGAGGAGACTGAGAGGAGATACGCTCTGGGTACCCAGGCTGCTGGCTTTAATCTCAGTCTACCAGCCTTTCTCAACCTGTGG